GTTGCTAAGACAGTCCAGTCTATTGTCATTATCAGGGTACAATGTGGCCAAGGGGTAAATCAAAGGAACGTACCAAAGACTATAGACTTCTTACAGGGACTTTGGTCACATAATCTCTCAACATTTAATTCTGAACAGCTTTGAGGGATACGGACGCCGCAAAGACTATAGAATACATGTAGAATGATTTAAAGAGACTTTTGACAACGTCAGCAATGTCATGCGTTTGCTCTTGTTGTTAGGAAACTCACACACGCACACATACACACAGAAAACGCATGTAGTACAGCACACCCTTCAAATTCATCAACACGCACGATCACGTTCATCAAATTTGCTTAAACTTAGCTTTCTAAAATATGGCTGTATTTTACAAGCAAGGATTCTGACACAGCAACATGAGGTAGTCGCTTTACAAAAGTTGTGTGTAGGGGGGAAACACGTCAAACTTAATGACACATTTGCGGGCGCATGAAATCTACTTAAAGGCAGAGGAATGGGCTGTCTTTGAAAGCTTGCGACATCATCTGGCACTTTCTGAGTACATATACATGGACACCAATACTCAGATTTTATGATTAAGGGTAATGCTAATTAGGACTTTACCATGAAAGCAGCAATTTTTGATTACCTTAAAGGACCACCCGAGTCACGAAATGCTGAGGTTTTTTACTGTTCGCCATGCGGTATCAACTTCCATTAAAACAGCACTCTTCCAGCAGTCCTTACTTCATATTGTCATCCAATAATTGAGTGGGGCGTGAACAATATGTTGCTGAATAAAAGTGAACTGCTGAACTGCAGTTAAAGTCTAAAGATTAAAAATGAAACACCCAAAATTACATGTAACTCAGGAGGAAACGCCTGGTGATGCGACATTAGTTGTTTTATACTAAAACTTTCCTTCTAAAAGCGCTTTCTTGGTCTTATCAATATTTCTTTGCACGTTAAACACATGCACGGTACCGGAGCAAGCTGAACTGGCACTCTAGGTAAACGGCGATCTCAATGTCACGTTCGGGTGAGGGGAAAAGGAGCGAGGACTCAAGTGCAAACAATAATTGGGTTTTATTAATAATAAAAGTACAAATAAAACAAAAAGGCAAAACAAACTACCCCGAGGGGGAAAACATTAACAAAACACACAAACTTAGCTGGACTGACAGGACAAGGCAAGACTGGAGCAGGAACACGGGGAGTGTAGACAACGAACTGGCAAAGGACTGAAAACATGAGGGGGATTATAAAGCAAAAAGTAAATTGACACACAGGTGAACACAATAAACTAATAATGGGTTAACAAGGAGGGTGGGACTAGACAATAGACGGGAGAGCGCATGACACAGAGAGACAATACAAGCCATGCGCTCACATAACACAACACTGAAGCACACGACAAAAACACGTGACCACAATGTAAACACCGAGCCACGTGCTTTGACAAAAGACGCAAGACACGAGCACACGATGAATGAAAACACTCACCGTGCGCTCACACATGCAGCATGCATGCTTCATCCCAGCGCCGACCAAAACCGAAACCAACAAGACTGAGACGCTGGGAATGAAACACCACGCTGCTGACAGACGAAAACACAAACACGAGTACAAGAGCGCATGCGTCTGAGGGACGCAGAGCGCGCGCGGCCGCGTCAAGCAGGAGCGCGCACACTCTGCGTACACCCACGACGGCGCGCGCGCACACAGAGACAGAAACAGGACCAGACATGGGTAGTGTCAGAGCTCTGCCACCAAAACAAGAATTTACAAGACCAGAGTGGCAGAACCCTGACACTACCACCCCCCAAAAGGGACGCCACCTGGCAAGGGAACATCCAACAAGGTACAAGACAGACAAGAAACACCACAAGACAACAAAACAGGCAACATCAACAAACACAAGACAGGGAGGTGAACAGGCAAGACATGAAGGGGGGGAGGGAGGGGAGCCAAATCAGACCCAACAAGACAAACAAGGGAGGGATGGGAGGGCAAAACCAGGGAGGATCAGGAGGGACAGTCCAGGGTGGGTTCAGCGGGTTGGGAGCCCCGGCAGGGAACCAGGGTGAAGCCGGAGGATCCATCCAGGGTGGAAGAGGGGAACACCAGGGAGGAGCAGGAGGGACGACCCAGGGAGAGTCTGTGAGGGGAAACAAGGCAGGAGGTCTGTAGAGAGCCGGTTGGGCTGGAGGCGACTTGACAAGAGCCGGCTAGACAGAAGGCCTGAGGGGAGCCGGCTGGACAGAAGGCCGCTGCTGGGGAGCCGGCAGGGCTGAAGGCGGCTGGGCTGGAGGCCTGTGGGGAGCCGGCTGAACTGGAGACCAGAGGGGAGCCGGCAGGGCAGGGAGCCGGGCTGGGGCCGGCTGGGCAAGACGTCTGGGTGGCGCCGGCAGGGCAAGGAGCCGGGCTGTGGCCGGCAGGGCAAGACGCCTGGGTGGTGCCGGCAGGGCAAGACGCCTGGGTGGCGCCGGCAGGGCAAGACGCCTGGGTGAAGCCGGCAGGGCAAGACGCCTGGGTGGCGCCGGCAGGGCAAGGAGCCGGGCTGGGGCCGGTAGGTCAAGACGTCTGGGTGGCGCCGGCAGGGCAAGGAGCCGGGCTGGTGCCGGCAGGGCTAGACGTCTGGTTGACGCCGGCAGGGCAAGGAGCCGGGCTGGTGCCGGCAGGGCTAGACGTCTGGTTGACGCCGGCAGGGCAAGGAGCCGGGCTGGTGCCGGCAGGGCAAGGAGCCGGACTGGGACCGGCACTGAGCTGCGCTCTGGGGCTGGAGCCGACACTGGAGGGCGCTCTGGGGCTGGAGCCGACACTGGAGGGCGCTCTGGGGCTGGAGCCGACACTGGAGGGCGCTCTGGGGCTGGAGCCATCTTGGCTGAAGAGGCCTTCCTCTTCAATCTCCGCTTCTGGGTGCGGGTTAACCCTTGGGGGGAGGACATGGACTGGGAGGTGGTGCTGGTGGTGGTGAGAAGGGTCCCTTCCCCCTCCAGGATCTCCCTCTCCTTCCTCAGGCAGGTGTATTCAACCACCTCCCAATAAGTCCATTCCTTTAAATCACCCAGCTCCTCCCAATCAAGAGGCTCATCTAATCCTGCCAGGAAGAGATGGATAAGGGTCCTCTCGGAGAATCCAAGCCCCAGGACTGCCTCAAGAAGACTTTGAGCATACACCCCAAAAGGACGACTGTTCTGATGGCATTCTTGTAGTCTCCTGGCAAGGGGTTGATCGTGGAGCCTCTTGTTCTGGGAGAGAGCTGGGCGAAGAAACAAACCCATCGTTGCTGAGTCCTCTAATGGCCAGCTCGTACTGTCAGGGTCGGGTGAGGGGAAAAGGAGCGAGGACTCAAGTGCAAACAATAATTGGGTTTTATTAATAATAAAAGTACAAATAAAACAAAAAGGCAAAACAAACTACCCCGAGGGGGACAACATTAACAAAACACACAAACTTAGCTGGACTGACAGGACAAGGCAAGACTGGAGCAGGAACACGGGGAGTGTAGACAACGAACTGGCAAAGGACTGAAAACATGAGGGGGATTATAAAGCAAAAAGTAAATTGACACACAGGTGAACACAATAAACTAATAATGGGTTAACAAGGAGGGTGGGACTAGACAATAGACGGGAGAGCGCATGACACAGAGAGACAATACAAGCCATGCGCTCACATAACACTACACTGAAGCACACGACAAAAACACGTGACCACAATGTAAACACCGAGCCACGTGCTTTGACAAAAGACGCAACACACGAGCACACAATGAATGAAAACACTCACCGTGCGCTCACACATGCAGCATGCATGCTTCATCCCAGCGCCGACCAAAACCGAAACCAACAAGACTGAGACGCTGGGAATGAAACACCACACTGCTGACAGACGAAAACACAAACACGAGTACAAGAGCGCACGCGTCTGAAGGACGCAGAGCGCGCGCGGCCGCGTCAAGCAGGAGCGCGCACACTCTGCGTACACCCACGACGGCGCGCGCGCACACAGAGACAGAAACAGGACCAGACATGGGTAGTGTCAGAGCTCTGCCACCAAAACAAGAATTTACAAGACCAGAGTGGCAGAACCCTGACACTTAACGCCCTTAACCCGAAAGTGAAAAAAAAGTAACCGGTTCGCGGATGAAAGTGAGGACCGAGATGGAGGAGGAGGTCGCATTTATGGACGCGTTTGCCCTGAACACACGTCGGCCACGACAGAAACAAAAAAAAAACTGCAAGTGCGTTAATTGCGTAATTTGTTTTTATATATCGCGTTAAATATTTCAATTGAATAGCATGCAGTAACGCACTAATTTTGACAGCCCTACTAATTACCCAAATTTGCATGTACAGTGTAAAAAAATGTTAGCATTTACCGAATCACAGATTTTACCATTTTATTTAACTTTTTTTTTTCACTTTATTCTAAAAAATAAATAAAAAATGTAAAATAACAGCAAAATAATTTTATCTTTTGGTCAAATTTTTTTATTTGTATTTGTATGCAGTCATGCTAATTTTTGATGAATAGAATATTTAAACTTATTAATTTATTTTGCACGTACAACTGATTATTTGAATTATAGCACTGTGTATAATTGTATGGCTTTTACATAACCTTCCACAATATTTATGTACAGTTCCATATTAAATATCATAAGCTCATGAAAATGCAGAAAATCTAATGTATACAGTTTAGTTAACGTAATTAACCCTTTAAATGACTCTTTTGCTGTAGCTAAAAAGTATTTTGAAAATAACTTTCATCATGGAAAATACAAAATAATTTAGTTATTAAAACTATAATATATTAAAAAAAACATGTTCAACAAAATCTTCTTTCCAATAAACAGCACTTGGAAATGTTTGAAAAGAATAAAAATTTCACAGGAGGGCTATTATTTTGTATTCATCTGTATATAAAATTAATATAACTACACAATACATTTGAAGTGGGATTTGAGATCCACATGAAAACAGGGGCAGATATATATTTCTGTTTGAACCTACCGAGTCTAAGCACAGAGAAGAACAGCAGCCAGAACATGCAGAGAATGGGCGCCACAACAACTTGACTGATGGCGGCCGCATGGATCCGCTGGTTGAGCTTTGTGGGTGTGTAGGCATAGTAGATATTATACCGATCCACCATATGCTTCAATACCAGGTACAACAACCCTGCAAAAAAAGAAAAGTAGGAGTTATCAATTAATATTCTCTTTTAATAACACATTCTTACTATTAACTAGTGGTTTATTACCTGCCTATTATTAAGATATTGGCTGTTATAAGTACTTATACATATTCTGCATGATCTTATTTTAAATACCTAAACCCAACTTTGAGACCACTATCTTTAGGGTGCAACAGGTGATTGTCTTCAGAAACTTTAGTTATTGTGCTGGTTTGAAAGTCTCCTCACATCCTGATAGCGATCATTAAATGAGTTGTTACAAATGTATTTATATATTTTAATATTCTGAAAAAGTTGTAGGACCAAGAAAAGTTTGTCCAATCACAAATGTTTGGGCATGATAATTTGTTAAAATATGCAACTGCATACCTTGTTTACACAGAAAGTCAGCATGTTCACTGACACGGTTTAGACAGAAAATAACGACAAAAATCAACAACCTACCTTCTTTTTAAAATTTGGCATTGTAATTAAGTTTTCTCTCTGGTGAATGTTGCGTGATGTAGTTTTCTAGTGTTGTTGTAGTGATGTTGTCTAGAGCGCGTTCATGTGTTCAGGAGGTGTGGCTTTGGATGGCGATTTGCAGAGTAGGCTTTCTGTGCTATCAGGCTAATGTTAGCATTTTTCCAAGATCTCCTGTTGTACCTTTAATATCTATTAATAAGCAGTAGATTACAGTAAGTGTTTATTGAGGCAAAAGTCGTGCTTAATGGTTTGTTAATAGCAAGAATTGTTCCTTAAAACAAATTGTGAAGCCTTCTAAGCTGGGACAGTGCCAATGCTTTTGTACAAAAGTGTTAAAATCTGATTGTCCTGATTTTACCAAGTGGTTAATGTCCTAATAATATTCTCTACCTGAGACAACCACTGTCCCTATACCTTTGTCTAAATTCTGCTTTTATGGCTTTTGTGATGAAAATAATACATGCATATTTGCTTTAGAAGTTTAGCATTTTTACACATTTTTACACACACACTCTTTTTTTTACATTTTAGTTATCTTTTTGCATTAACTCAGTTAAGTTTGATTTATTTAACTATTAGTAAATATATTTACTTTATTTTACTTTATTTACTTGATTTATTAGTTGACTAAGTTATAGTTGACCTAAAAGTTTACTTTACTTTTTCATAGGTTAACTGACATTTTCTCTTTACTAATGTTTAAGCTGACAAAAACTTAATCTAGCAGATTTTCTGGAAACACTTTAGGTCACAATTCATAGTATTAACAAACAATTAAAGGTGCAGTAGGTGATTGTCTTCAGAAACAAGTTGTGTTGTGCTGGTTGAAAGTCTCTCCACATTCCAATAGTAAATGATCTAAATGTATTTATATGTATTTTTATATTCTGGGTGAGGCATAAAACTAAAAAAATGTTTATTCAATTAAAGATTGCCGGAGCAACAAAAAACTCAATTATGACTGGTATCTCAAACTGTCTGTCAACAAATTTAAATTTGAATTTCTGTGGAGCCTTTTAAAGCAGAAGCACGCATCTACCGCTGACAGAGAGACAGCATCAGGCAAACTCTGCATCAATCTAAACTTCTTTCCGACAGACCAACGTGGCCTTGTATGCATGAAAAGAAAGATTGTTTCTGAAAGGGCTTCTGGCAAAAAAGGCAGAATCTAAATTTTTCCAAATCCCGAATTAGTGTTATATCTAATCAGTGCGCGTTTGTGTGTTCATGACTTAAGGAGGCCTGGCTTTGGACAGCAGGGGAGGGTTGTAAAATTTTTAAGCTATTATGATAATGCTAGCATTCTGGCAGATCATCTACTGCAACTTTTACGAACACTACTAGCGTAATAAACTACTAGCTGTTTATTAATAGTTAGTAAGGTAGAAGTTGGGTTTAGGTTTTGGGTAAGATTAGTGATGCAGAGAAAGTTCATAATTTATAACTAAACAGTTAATGTATTGATAATAGGCAGGTAATAAAATGAACTCCAACTACTATAGATGTCTTTACAATTTTCCTTATATAGTCATTTAACTTACAAAAGAATTGTTCTTACAAAAAAATTGCAGGGACAATCGTAACTCAAGTTGAAGCAACATACACCCTAGCTTAGTCAGCTAGAATCAGACTACAGATAAAGTCAGAATTATTAGCCCCCCTGAATTATTAGACCTGTTTATTTTTTAACCAATTTCTGTTTAACGGAGAGAAGATTTTTTTTCAACAAATTTCTAAACATAATAGTTTTAATAACACATTTCCAATAACTGAATTATTTTTATCTTTGCCATGATGACAGTAAATAATATTTTACAAGATATTTTAAGACACTTCGATGCAGCTTAAAGTGACATTTAAAGGCTTAACTAGGTCAATTAGGGTAAAGAGCCCCTATTGTGGGTTTTCAAAAATGATCAGGTAAGGCTTAAACCTGAAAGTGCAGTGTTTAAAACTACTGATTAATTTATAAAAGAGTCGACTCATAGTGCTTCAAATGAATCGTCTTGATAATGAGTCTATAGCTTTTTCGGCATGACAATGATATGAAGCGTAAGCCCAGCCCAATTGTTGCGCACGCAAACCCAGGAAAATTGAAACATATGGCCCCGCCCACAAACAGTAGCAAAGAAAAAGAGAAAGACAAACACTGTAGCAGATGCAGGTTGAATTAAATCATGAAGATGCTGTGCTCAGCTGGATATTATTGGAAGTGTGACGGTAAGTTAGTGTTATTTTCTCTACCCAAAGATGAAACTGTGAAGAGTCAGTGGTTGAGGTTTATTTTTGCAAAAATACCTCAGCATTATAGGCCCTGCCTTGTGCAGTTTGAATGCTTCTGGAATCTACACGCTTACAATGGGGCATTCGTTGGGGGGGTGGGGGCAGTTCGTAGATGCCGCCCTCACTATTCCGCTCAAGGTGGCCGCCTAGAACGCCTCTATAGACGCGCCAGCCCTGATAATACTTGTGAGAACCGGGTTCTGTGTACTATGGTGATAGTAACTACTATGATCCTATATCAATGTTGGCGACCCAGGGGTTTCACAGACCGTACCAAAATGTTGAGGATTGGGGGGAGATGGGGTGGTTAAAATTATGGGAGTTTCCAGAATAAATAACAAAATGAGTGGGTGGCTGGAGATGGGCCTGAAATACGGGAGACTCCCGGGAAAAACAGGAGTGTTGGCAGGTATGCTCACAAATACACTATGCACTCTGACTTCTTCAATAATGTTGATAAGCCGTGGGGGGCATTTTACTCTGTCTCACGCTGAACGCTGTCGACCAATTACAACATACTGATCCAATCATCGCAGATTAGCTTCACGCTAAGGATAGGTTTGGGAACAAATGAATCGCTGAACGAATCATAAATGCTTATTAAAAGACCATGAAAGTGTTTTTTGACCTTGCATGCATATCAGCCTGGTGTTGGAGACTCTTAAAACCAAAATATGACCCTTTTTTAATGTATGATAGGGGCTCCTTAACTAGGCATGTTAGGGTATATAGGCAAGTTATAGTATAATGATGGTTTGTTTCGTAGACAATCAAAAAATATAATGCTTAACAGGGCTAATAATTTTGACCTTAAAATGATTTTTAAAAAATTAAAAAACTGATTTTATTCTAGCCAAAATAAAACAAATAATACTTTCTCCAGAAGAAAAAAATATTATAAGACATACTGTGAAAATTTCCTTGCTCTGGTAAACATCATTTGGGAAATATTTAAAAAATAAAAAATAAAAGGGGGGGCTAATAATTCTGACTTCAACTGTAGTCGAGACAGTGTAAACTTACCATGTTAAGTTCAATTAGCAAGTTTAGAGAGTGCAAGTTGTTTAAACTAACAAAATCATGTAGAAAAATCTAAAACGCAGAATCATCTTATTTTACAGAGCACCTTGGAAGTAAAGTAACTTGGTGAGTTAGTCAAAGTGCTAACAAACACTGACTGGCTGAGACATTTGTTATTCTGGGTTCATCAAACCCAAATATTGCTCTTAGGACTTTACCTCACAGGTATAGTATTTACCTGTTTACCCAGACCACACATGAATGCAAGTTGGCAGATAAATTCAGAAGTAAATGAAAAATGATGATGATGGATGTCAGCGTATAGTAAATAAACAGTCATGGTGTGTATTGGTGACAGAACAGGCGTGGAGTGGGCGTCTGGATCTTGGCTAGACGGGTCGCAGCGTCTGGAAGACTACAGCGGGTTCACACCTAGCGGCCATGTCACACCGCGATACTGAGATGTTGTTGGAGATACGGCTCTGACTCCCACACACTGACTGAGGTATCAGAACACTCACAGAGGTAGAAATGAAGGCTGACGGAAAGAAGAAATAAAGGCAGACAAAGAGAGAGCTGCAGGCAACAGAGGATATGAGAGCAAAAGAAACACACCACACAAATGGTGCAGAGGAGACAAATGGGTTTGAGCACAAATTAGGAGGAAAGAAGAATTGGGGCATGGAACAAGGAGTGCTAAAAGAAAAGGTCGGTTTGTGGTGAAGTAAAAAGCATACTCAGACTCACCAAAAGGTACGATGACGGGGCAGGTGATGCTGTAGGTCATGCTGACTGAAAATATACACATGGTCCAGGCGTATTCCAGACCAAACTGAAACTCATAGGCCTGACTCTGAGGGGAGAAAGGAGAAAGAGGTGCCTAAAGTATTTATTGGCTCTTTTTTTGGGAGTGCCTGATAATCATTTTCAGCCGTGATTATATGGAAAAAAAGCAAAATGCAGAAGCTTTACATATTTTTAGTGTTTAAAATAACAGTGAATGCAATTTAGAATGATTTGAATAAAAAATCATAAAAAAATAAATAAATTGCAGTGTCCGACAAAAAAGACAACCTTTAATTTCAAATTATTAGCCCCTTTAAGCTATATATTTTTTCGATCTACCGAAGTCTACAGAACGAACCATCAATATACAATAACTTGCCTAATTACCCTAACCTGCCTAGTTAATCTAATTAACCTAGTTAAGCCTTTAAATGTCACTTTAAGCTGTGTAGAAGTGTCTTGAAAAATATCTAGTCAAATATTGTTTACTGTCATCATGACAAAGATAAAATAAATCAGTTATTAGAAATGAGTTATTAAAACTATTTTGTTTAGAAATGTGTTGAAAAAAATCTCTCCATTAAACAGAAATTGGGGAAAAAATAAACAGGTTTAATAATTCAGGGGGGCTAATAATTTAGACTTCAACTGTGTGTGTGTGTGTGTGTTTGTGTGTGTGTGTATATATGATCAATATCACACTCGTAGCAGTGTGATATGGCTGTATATCAGCACTAGTGGGAGGCGTGCGTTGGCATGAAGCTGCAGGGCGACTGTCTTAGCGTCCCATCAGTGCCGATATACAGCCATATCGCACATCTACGAGTGTGATATTGCGTTTATACAACAGTTTGACGGTACAATCGTGTATATAAAAAAGAAAATCAAACACGGAGAGTCTAAAACCCTTGTATTAGGAACTACTTTTTTCCGCCCTTCACTCACATCTGCAGCTGACGTCAGAACAGCAGAAGCCATTACTAATTTACCAACGTCACTTTAGAGCTGGTATTTGAATGATCCTCTATAGCGTAATTTCTAAAGTGATGATAAAACAGCTGGATTTGCTCACATTTTAAGATTATGAGTCTGAATGTGACATTAAATACCATCCATCAACAGAGATATCTCAGCATTTACCCGAAGACTTTAAGGAATGAAAAAAAAAGGAGACAAACTATTTCGGTCTTCCTATTGGCCTTAATGCATTTCTCCCAAGTACTGTCGATAACATACATGCCAGTCAGCGAAAATAAATAGGCAAAAGGAAAAGAAAAAGACATCTGTTGCAAAATAAAATGTTACATTATTCAAATGAAAGAATGATACAGCGGTAGAGCGACCATCACACACTCCTCCTCAGAGCATGCCAGAACTGAACTGAGCTCCTATACATGTGTGCTTACATCTCAAAAGTAAAACAACCACAGATGAAGTCCTCTTAAAGAGGACATAACATTTATACACAATGCATATCAAACATTAAGCGACCATTACAATATCACAATAATTAACCCCAAAAAAAGCAGCGCAATCACTACCAGACTGCTGTTGTGATAAGGACGAACGAGGCTGAATCGAGCTTCTTATTTGCAGCTTCTTATTGACTCTATTCGGTCCACCCTAAAAACCCCAACGCTTCTGTTTCGTGCGCAAGAAACAAGAAAACACACAGTTTTAACCTTCTAAGCAAGGACTTATTATGCGGTCCTGGCACCATCTTGTGGCTAGACAACGTCAACCATCTTTGACTAATGGACACCGACGCACGGTCTCTCAGAAATGATAAATTTTTTAAAATAGGCACTATCCTTATAAATAAACTGCATAGTTGATATTTAAACAACTACATTCTTGACTAAAATAGCCTCAAAATTACATTATGTTGCCTAACAGCAGGAATATTTGTCAAACTGTAGAGCATCCTCTGCTTGTATGTGGGCGGAGTAATACACATAGGTGAAGAGGCCTTTGTGTGCTGTTGCTGGCAAAATATCTCACGACTGTCAGCCAATCAGGTTTAAGAACCAGACAAACCTGTTGTGTATTAGGGAGGCCATGACTCTCAATATAATATTGAACCGTTGGTATGACATTCACGGTTTAATACACACTTGTGAATTGCGGTTTTCTTGGTTTTGCATTTAAATAATTTATGTGCGTTTTATATCTCCCTGAATTGACTGTGTGTGTGTGCCTGTAAGTCCATGAGCTGAGATGAGGAAACTCCTCCCCGCGAGTAAATATCCTATCATTATGCTCTAAAGTTAGTGGGTGCGTCACCATCATTCCACACTTTAATATGGCAAGCGGCAGTGAAGTGAGGCTGATGCAACAGTACAAGGAAGCGACAGCGTCTTTCAAATCTGCGGTGTGAAGACATTTTGGTTTTGCCGGTAAGTATAATGCCAAAAAAAGAAAAAACGGTGAACAAAAAATAACTGTGTGCAAGCATTGTTTTACATGTATAACCATAACTGCACATCTGCAGTGCCATCATCCAGTAATATCACTGTCTGAAGGCAGGATAGCAGAGAAGGTAATTAAGTCCAAATAGCAACAATCCCTCGCTGAATCCTTCCAGCAAACATGCCCAACTGGTTCCGAAAGACACATAAAAATAACACAGGCAGTGCGAGTGTTTATTGTTTAAGATTTGCAGCCGTTTTCGGTGATTGGAGATGCAGGCTTTTGTCATCTTATAAAAGCACTCGATCCGTGTTTACTTATTACAGTCTCACATTTTTTTCAGCACTAAGATAATTAAGATGGTTTATTTATGTTTCCTTAAGTGCAAATAGGTTTATTTGAAATGGCCAATTTATCTTTATTAACTTCACATGCATGTTTATTTTCAAAATGTAGGATTTTATGTGTTCCCCAGTTTGTACAGGCTACCAGCAGCTGTGAGATTTCAGATTTTTATTTTTATATATACAATACACTAGGAACTAGTGTACTTTTCTTGGCTTTTAAGTAAAAAAAAATGAGTACTGCAATAAATCGTTATTATTATTTTTTCTCCTTAACCTACAGTTCCTTTTGCCTATAGAATAAAAAAAAAAATGTGTTAAGCCATGAGAACCGAACCGAAAACAGTGTTAAAAAAACGAGGTATGTATTAAACCGTGGGCTAAATGTATTGTTGCATCCCCAATAGATCTTGTGGTCTGGTGCATCTCAGTGTGCTTTTAGCTTAGCTTAGCATAAATCATTGAATAGAATTAGAGCATCTCACAATGCCTGAAAATTGTCCGCAGCTATTTAACCAAGTAAGAGCACAATATCATTGATTCTTGCTAATGATGGCAAAATGAAAGCATAGTTCGTAGCTATATAATCATACAAGATGACAACTTTTCATTTTCAGACGCTCTTAGCACAAAAGTGTTCAGCTTTAAATAGGAAAATTATTTAAGCAGTTTTTTGATTTACACTAGTGCAATTCATGATATTTTCTAAGCTAAGCTAAAAGTGCTTCCATCAGACCTAGAGATTGGCTAAATGAATTAAAACATGGTACAACTCAACTGTTTAACTCTAAGCAGTTATAAAATGAGTCTATTTTTTAAAAGTCTTTCTTTAAGACTGGATAAATAGCAGGTGAAAATCCAGCTTTGCTAACACAGAAATTAATATGATTATTTTAAATTGTAATTATTTTCATTATATCTGTTTTTACGGTATTTTTGATTCAATAGTTTCAGCAATGGTGAACAGAAGAGACACAACTCACTGTACAGACTCACTCACTATTTTAACATGGATGCACTCGGCTTTAGATTTGGCAAAACAAAGGCGGAGAGAGTACACCAGCAGAGCAGGAATACGCAGAAGCTCCATCGCTGTCCCGATCAGACTGGACGTGATCACATAATTCACAAAAAACGCCCCGTTATCAGGCAAAAACACACACCTGAGGAGATTAAAAAAAGCAATATTAATAACCATTTATAAATAAACGAACCAAGAGCTGTAATTTAAGAACTTACTGAAACTTTACATCTGTTTCATCTAAAAAGCGGACGTCAAAAAGCCACCTGAAGAACAAATTCAAGCTGGGGAGCAGAAAAGAAGACATGAAACATATAATACTGTGCAGATAACACTTCTTCACAAAAACATCTCAGTAGTTATTTGACATAAACTACTTATTAGCAATGTATTTTACAGAGTTTAATAATCTTTTGCTATTGTTAATTAACAAGAACACAACAGTTTAATGCTTGTTCATGTTTGTTAACAGTTCATTCACTGTTCAGTAAATGTGAGCAACTTATAAAAGTAACAATCATTAGGAAATTAATAGAAAAATACACCTTTAACTGTTTAAACATATAAAAATACACCTTTAACTGTTTAAACATCCAAAAATACACCTTTAACTGTTTAAACATCCAAAAATACACCTTTAAATGTTTCATTAATAATTATGGTATGCTTTAAAAGGCTTATTTAAAGACTAAGGGGGTCTGCATAAGTAGGACATCCTTATTTATTATTGACTCACATCTAGTATTGTATATAAAGATTTTGTTTTTCTGAGACAAACTTATATCTTTCACAAAACTAACAAAGATATACATTTTAAAATGCGACAAAATGAGATGCTTTTACTGATGTTTTATTACAGCATATAATGATTTCATTTTAGAATACAGGATGTTTACCTGGACAGACCCAGTGATGGTAGAATGATTACCATGAAGACAAGCAGTAAAAAGCATTTGTGCATGGTGACCTGATTCTCACCGGACCTGAAGGAGACACACATAAAAAAATACTGATTACAACTGAACTGATTGATTGATTGATTGATTGATTAATTGATTAACTGATTGATTGATATAACTTTGTTAAATTAGATCTGATTGTATATATATATATATATATATATATATATATATATATATATATATATATATATATATATATATATATATATATATATATAAACAGACAAGACATAATTCACATATATAGATTCAAAAAATAGATTTATGTAAAAGATTCACATTTTCATTTCATATTTGCATGAACCTTTTTTAGTTCTAAGACAGCCTGATGTCCAAATTAATGTTTTGATCTTTCAATTGAATAAATCCTGGAACTTTTAAATCAAAGTTTAGACTGAACAATGTTCTTTGGCAGCCTTGAGAGGTTCTTGTGATAAGAAAGATTTTCAAGATTTTTCCTACTAACTTTGAGCAGATTTTAGTCTTCGGTTTCACAGAAAAACTCACATACTGTACCAAACAGACCAACAATACTGTAAAACACACTTAATTACAGAAATTAAGAAAAGTAGAAATAATCTTTGATACTGCAAAAGATAAAATAATAATAATAATTTCTCTGCTATAGCCTATATTACACAAACTATCAATGTGATCTTTTCATGATACTTTTCAGGATTTTTTGTTGTATATTATTACACCAAAATACTTAAATACACCAATATATATATATATATATATATATATATATATATATACAGTTGAAGTCAGAATTATTAGCCCCTCTTCTGTCTACACCGTAAAAAAAAAAAAAATGGTTGTGACCTGTTTAACAGTAAGTTTCTTTAATATATATGGTGTATAACTATATAATAAGCGTAAATTGACTTTTCCATAATTCCCTGCATGACACTTCACTTTGTATCTTCTTAACTTAAGTTGTGTATAGTGTTTCAAAACACTGGTGTATAAATGTACCATATTTTTTAACAGTTAAATTCTGGCAACCACAGCTGCCGTTATTTTTATTGTGAATTTTATGGATTTTCTTTTCACAGTGTACCAATTAAAATACATTTATTGAATAATAAATAATACAACAAACACACGTTTCAAGAGAATTTTAAATAGACCAAAATTATTTGAAAATAAACTGTCAAAATATGGGTAAATTAATGTTCCATTGTATTTGTCATTTAGTAAAACATATTGTATATGCATATTTATGTGAATATGTATACATTTATATCTATAAATAAAGCAACATGCCTATTCAAATATACAAAAAGTAATTTTTAAGACTTGAAGTATTAATTCCCACCATGAGCTAATGGCTTGTTACCTGTCTATTAATAAGATTTTGGCTGGTTATTAATGCTTATAAAGTATCATCTTATTCTACATCCCTAATCATACCCCTAAACCTAACAACAACCTATTAATAAGCAGCAAGTTTAGTAAAGTAAAAATCTTGGTTTTCTAATAGAGAATTGCACCTTCAGATAAAGTAGGACAAAATAAAATAAATTAAATAAACAAAATACAAAGTGATCATATTAAATTTACTATATAATGTACATTTAATACAAATTGTTATATTACAAATGATGACAAATGGGTAATTTTAGGAATAGTGGCAAAGTAAAAAGATTTAAAATCACAATAAATTAACATATATGGGGCTTCACTGTGGTTCTTAAATAGATTTCTTTTTTTAAACATGTTATCATAAACCCATTGAATCAATTACTTTCCATACTATATACTGTATATATCATGCATTTCCACACCAGTTCTTATACTATATACTGATGGAGTTTTTCCCAATCCCAGTTCTTCCTGAATGTAATTAATTTCCTAAAATGCAAATAAAGGAAGTAAACACTCCAAATTGGATTTTAGGTTGACTTGCATAATAATGATTAAAGTGTTTCAGTCAAGTGCTGCAGGTAGAGCAGCTGCACAATGCAGAGGGTTTGATCCGCACGAACCATAATATGACTGTGTGAAAGATGCCGCCAGTGTGCATATGATTATATTCCCTTGTTATGATCACTATGACAACAAGCTTAGAGAGGCAGGATGAGGGACATCATGTGAACGTGTGTGCATCGGTGGGTGGGAGTCTGGGTTGGGGGATGTTCTGCAGTTATGTAATATGTTTGTGTGCTGATATATGAACGTGCTTATGCAGTGGATTTCACTTGAAATAAGTTTTAATTGTATTTTTTTGGGCTATATTAAAGAGATGTTTGCACCGCAAAAATGAAAAAAGACCTCATCATTTACTCACTCAAGTGGTTCTAAACTTTTACGAATGTCTTTCTTCCTTTAAAAACAAAAGGAGATACTCTGAGCAATTTATAAAACATGCAGACATTGACTTCCATAGTAGAAACAAAACTATGTACTAAAATACTGTGGACGTAAATGGCTGCTGCTTTTCAACATTCTTCAAAATATCTTCCTTTGTGTTCAACAGAAGAACAAAACTCAAACGTTTCTGGAACAAGTAAAGGGTGACTAGTTGATGACAAGATTTACATTTTTTGGTCACCTCTCCCTTTAAGTTGAGTGTAGGTATTTATATTTTAGATTATAAAAGAGGCCATATTCTTCATGTTGTCTTTAATATTATCTTAATTTACTGTATGTTTAGCTGAGTAAATAAATGCAGTTCTAACTTGACAGAATTTTCATTATCTTCAAAGTATGTGTTGATAAGTGTGCAAGTCAGAGGAATGCTGGGATATTATCAGGAAGGGGGCTAAACTTCAGTCTGAGTTGCTTTATGTGTATTTGTTTTAAATACTAACCATTTGTGGTCTACTGAATTTTATTGGATTACTCTTTCTTTGGTCATTTAATCTGATTACACTTACAGTTCTCAGTCACTTTGATCCATGTCTCAGATCCGAATTGAAATTCTCAAAATTCCCTGTTCAATCTTCAGATCAAGGTGTCGCATGTGCACATCAGAAAAGCAGTTTATCATTCCTTTGAAATAGTTGCAAATGCTTTTGTACATCCATGCAAATGATTATATACAATTCTCTGATGTTTGCTACATTATCTGCTTATGTCACATTGATCAAAATGTATTAGTTTGGTCTCTGTTGAGAGTCCCCCCACAACATTTAATCCATTGTTCATGGCATAAGTCTTCACATGCAAAAGTGACTAAACAAGTTGTCATAATATTTTGTCATAATGCATTTTTCTATACATTATTTATTGAGCTTTGATAATGTGAAATATTTGGCTGATGCTTGTATGATTTTTTAAATTTTAAATGGATATGCTCCACCTTCATGTGAGTTTGTGACAGACAAGAACAATAATGGTCAATCAATACGATCTGTTCCAAGGGGAGACTGTGCTGTGCAGTTTAGATGTACAACTTTTGCACGATCAGTCTTCTAAGTTAGAGCCAGTCGTTTTTGGAAATGACTTAAGGGGTTTTACAAATGATTCAACTTTTAAATACAAGTTAAAGAAATGGCTAAAAGCAAATCAAGTTTGTAATTATGTTTAATTATTTTGTCTATAAACATTTTTCTTAAACATTTTAAGAAATTTGGGGCTTTTTCAGTTAATTCATAACAATTTGCTTTTGTATAATGTTATTATTATTAGCAGTCTGTGTTTAAAGGTTTCCCTATCCAAGAGGGAAAGTAAAAGTACATCGATTATCTCTCAGTCTTGTGCGGTAGATATTCTGTTTAACAGTTTTCTGTTTAAAAAAACTGTTAACTGTTTGCTTGTGAAATGCTCAGTTTTTTCACTTAGACTTACTTTAAGTCCTGTAAATAGCAAATACGCTTATGGCGCGACGCAGCTGGCTCTTAAAGAAAATGGGAGATGAGACTCTGATTGGTTTATTCTCAAAACACACCTATAACTCATTAAGAAAATAAACTCAACCCTTTTAGACCATGAGCCACGGCGCAAAGCGGATTTTCCCGTCCTTAAATTAGCAAATATGGATTCTGACATGCCCTGAAAGCGTTTGCGCCCTGCGCTTTCCGTTTTGCGCATGGACCGTCAAAATAGAGCCCTTACTGTTTATTAATGAGCATTGTCCCTGTTAAATAAAATAAATTCAAACTCTACATTTCCATCCAACTTTATTTCTAAATCTGTCTACAATTGGTAAATTTCTCTCAGGTGAATCTTGACTTTTTCCAACGAAGTTCTAAAAGGAGGTCGTCCAATGTTCACATTTCTGTTTTTGTTTTTCTTTGTGCTAAACAGTGCTGTCTTTTCTTATCTGTATCACACTGACATGATCTGTCAACAAATTACAGTACAAACAGCAAAACAAATTTCTCGTTTGTTTCTCGTTTACACCAGAACAGCCCTCCAGAGTACCCTATAGTATTGACAACATGACTAAGTAAATGACAAGGACTCGTATTTCTGACAGCACTGACCTGTTCATTGATACAGAAATTTAGTTTTGAGAGATGAACTACGGATTTTGAGCAGGAGACTGGCTTTTGCAGGTAATCCATGGTGTTTCGCTAATTGTCCACATTGTTTTTAAATTTCTTATGATATTTGTCATTGCCACCAAGGTAAGTTCCCATCAGACATGCTAGAGGGCACTGTACACACAAACTGAACTATGTCCCATCATACTCAGCAGTCACACACCAGTTCCAGGTTACCTCTTGATTAACAACACACACAGCTGAAGCTCGTCATTACTGATTACATGGACTAAACACAAAAGTTTCCCTGTATTAAGCATTACAAAGCATTTCCCTGTATAATTTACCTGTTTTTGACTCTTGTATGTTTCATTTTTTGCTTTGCTACCTGCCCCGACCATACATCTGTTTACTGATTACTTTTGTAGATTATTTTCATGCAACCATCTGTCCTTCTTTGAAACTTGCCTGCCTAATTATTCTAATAAAAGCTGCACTTGGATCCAACCCCTGTTGTCACCAGCACTCATTACAACAATAAATAAAGATAAATTCATTTCAGTCTATTTTTTGGAGGAATTTCTTTTAAATCTTTCAATTATTTGGAATCTGTTAATGTTTGATCTTTTGAGTAGATTAAGTTGAGTAAAATAAAATGTATTAGTTAAAGTAAAACGTAATTAAATCAAACTAATTTAGTTTTAAAGATCAAAAGATTTCAGTATAAATGTAACAGAATATGAGTCAAGATAACTTAAAACTTACTAGTCAAAGAGACATACAGTTTTACAATATAACTGTAAAAATTATTACACAAACTTACATTTTATTAGGTAATCTACAAAAGTTGAGTACTCTAAAACGATTAGGTTTTACAGTATAGATAGATAGATAGATAGATAGATAGATAGATAGATAGATAGATAGATAGATAGATAGATAGATAGATAGATAGATAGATAGATAGATAGATAGATAGATAGATAGATAGATAGATAGATAGATAGATAGATAGATAGATAGATAGATAGATAGATAGATAGATAGATAGATAGATAGATAGATAGATAGATTTAAAAACACTACACCTCGTAAAAAGTTAAAACAATAATTATGTTATAATGAAGCAGAAAGACCTCCCTGATGCAGTTCTCTCATTTTTATACACAGACTAGAAGAGTTTAAAGTCAGGCAGTGGAAACGGCATCATACCTGGTCCAGTGGTACTCAAAGAAAGACGAATAGTACACAATGAAGGGCAGGAGGATGGAAAAGGCCCACAGGAGCAGAGTGGGGAAGAACTGCGTAATTACTGGGTTCTAGACAGCAGAAGACAGTAAAAGATCAAATCCAAAACATTCAACTTCCCAAAACAACAACCAAAAAGCAGGTCCTGTTTTGTTTTACATTCTAATGTGGCGTAATACAGCCAAACGGTTATAAAAAAAAGGGCTTTGATGGTCACTGACCCTTAAGCTTTCGACCGGCCGAGTGACGTTGAACTTGTCCATGGTGTTTACGATGATCGCAGGGGTTGTGAGAAAGAAGAGCAGGAGGAAGAGCAGGATGTTGAGCAGGATGCAGCGAAGCCACCAGCGAGGACCGCAAACTGACAGATTCTCCCTGTAACAACACAGTCACCGATCAACATAACAAGCTCTTCACAGCAGTTACAGGACAGAGACGGCCTGCTCTCCAAGAATAAGGGGGATGTTTAGCTGATGCTACATAAACTGGAAGGTTTGGGGTGGAAAACTCTAGTCTAAGCTGGTTAGCTAGGCCAAGCTGGTGTTCAGATGGTTTAGCTGGCAGTACATGGTTTAAACCTTTCTAAAACAATATAACTTTCAGATTAAACCTTTGGTTGATTTCTGATGCTTTCTGTTTTATGTCACTGTTTGCTTTTCGAGGGATAGTTCACTTATACTCAGGGTGTCTGTGAATCCTTAAGAAGTCTTGAATTCTATAGTATAAGGATATAATTAGTCTTAGAATATCTTAAATTTGTGTTTCAAAGGTTTTCAAAATTGATAGAACGGAACAGTTTTAGTTTTTGTTCTATTTATCTATAATATATATATATATATATATATATATATATATATATATATATATATATATATATATATATATATATATATATAAATGTGTTTTTTTATAAGATTTTACACTATAACAGCTGTTGACAACTGCTTCAACCTGTACATTAGCAAATAAATAAATAAATAAATAAATAAAACTAGAGATGAATCAATCAACTAACCAATTTTTTGTATGACTGGCCTGACCGGTGCATCCCAATTATTAGTATTAGCTATTATTAGTCAGCTGTTTACAAGTTTTTAACTTTTTCTAGATTTAATAAAGAAGGATGATAATTAATTAGTTGTTGTTGTGTGTGTTTTTTTTGTAACTCTGTATTATTAAAAATATATATACTATACAACTGGTCCTAAATTTCATTTGTTGTGGTATTAAAAATATTAAATATAACCCTTATAAACCTACCCTGTATATATTATATCTTAGTTCTGATGAATACTGTTTTACTATTTAATCACCATCAAGTTTAGGCTTCTGCTGGTACCAATTTGTTATGTTGCAATTAATTTCTAAAGCTTTTATCATGGTTTTATGAAGGTAACTTTAACATGAATAGTTTTAAAAAATACTTAGTGTATTGCTTTGTTTTATATATATATTCAGAATGAACAAATGTTTCAAACAAATTCAATTGCCAAAGGATGACGAATACTATAGTAACACTTTACAATAGTCTTATTAGTAAAAGTTAATAGTCAACTGTGAGAAATAGCTATTATAGTTGTATGCTAAAGTTCATTTAAAATGCAACATAACTGTATTATTTATTATCTTCATTTAATAAAACAATGATGACTTCTGGATTTTTGACTTTAATTATTGTGGAGAATAATATAATATTAATAACGAAGATTAATAAATGCTTTTACATTGACTTCAGTTTAATAAACTTATATTAAAAATGAAGGAGTTAATGAACAAAAGGCCTTTAAACTGGCAGAATTTTCAAGGTCATAGGTCAAATTATTATGTGGAAATGTAACAACAAGTGTAAGCTAAATTGTCCGTTGTATATGTGTGTAAATGATGTAAAATCCCCCACAGTCCAAAGACATGCAGTACAGGTGAATTGGGTAGGCTAAATTGTCCGTAGTGTATGAGTGTGTGCTTGTGTGATTCCCAGTGATGGGTTGCAGCTGAAAGGGCATCCGTTGCGTAAAACATATGCTGGATAAGTTGGTGGTTCATTCCGCTGTGGCGACCCCAGATTAATAAAAGGACTAAGCCGAAAAAGAAAACAAATGAAAAAAATGAATGAATGGAATATCACACTAAAAATGAATACACCACAACGCTTATACATTTTGAAATATTTTGACTGAAAAAACTATGTGATGTGAAGACAATTACTAAATAAATTCCACCAAGTGTATCAAAAAAAGTGAAGTGATGTTTTAAGAAAGTGCATGAATCAAACGCATTTCACAAAATTTCATCCTCTGAGGTGTGAATATTTTAATATATAAGAAAAGACCTGTAGTGGTTTTAACAGCAGCAAATTCCATTTTTCTTTTAGATGTTTGGTGCCAGTTTATCAGAAATTGATGACTTTGTTCTCTTTGACTCACTGGATGGAAACATTGCTTTATTTGCAAATGTTTTATGCGATATTTCAGTTTTTCACATAAATCTAATTTGCATATTTGGATGAAAACATAACTAGTGACAATAGCCCCTTTCACACATACAGACCTTTCCGGAAAATTGCCGGCAATTTTCCGGAAAGGTTGTATGTGTGAACGGGCCCTTTTTGAAAATACCAGTAAATTCATTCTGGCTATTTTCCGGAAAGAGAAGTTGTAACATTACCGGCAATTTGCCGGAATGCTGCGCTGTGTGAATGCAGAAGGAAGATTCCCGTAATAAGCGCGTGCACGTCTAGAACGTGCTGACGTGAGACGTCTGCTTTAGCCAATCACAACAGTCAGATGCATTTACGTCCGCGCGGTTTGTGAGAATAAAAGCCTTTCAATATTTTCCAGACACATTTAGCTGCTAGAAGTTAGTCAGATCACGTTTATATGTTCTTCTTAATGCCAACTGTGTAAATAATCATCGATGAGATGCTTATGATAAGCCGTTGTTTGTTTACCTTCAAGCTTTGCGTGTGCCTTTGAAACAGCCTGTGAGCGCCTGCACACGCACATATTATGAACATCTCGACATGCGAAAGTGATCCTGCGAAAGTTGTTCACAATATTGGTCATCCACAGAGTTTGTAATGTAGTCAAATGTTTACAAATACAAGCGCAGCCGTTTGAGGCTCATTTGTGGTGAATGATGTCAGAATGTACCGGTATTTTGGAATGGATGTGTGAATGCTCTTTTCCGTAAAATTTCCGTAACGTCCTCTGCTGTGTGAACAGCGCTTTTTTAAATATACCGGTAAAGTCGTTCCGGAAATTTTCCAGATATTTACCGGTATCACTGTGTGAAAGGGCCTATAAACTGTAGAGAGGAAAGAAACTGCAGAAGTCTGGTTTCCAACATCACTCAAAATATCTTCTTTTGTTTAACAGAACAAGTTTGGAACAGGTGGAGGGTGAGTAAATAGAGTGAATTTTCATTTTTGAGTGAACTATCCCTTAAAGGCCCCATTATACTTCAAGCTAAATGAAACAGTACAAGTTAAACTGAAGTATGTGGTATGCTTTACTGTGATCACTGATTGATTTGAATATGATGCTTGTAAAGCTGAATATGAGCACACAAAAATATGCTAATTGATCATATTTATACGGCTAACACTTTGTGGTGAAATATTTATGATGAAAGTCAATGAAGTTCACAACAAGATCCATTTATTCCTATCATTTCATCCCTAAGACATAAACTATTTTAAAGGATATAAATAATAACAATGGTCTTAATGTATTTTCAGTTTTATATTTTTAATTTCCATAGCTTCCAAGAATGCAAAGTATTAATAAATAATGTTGTGCTAGCTGTTTTAATGTTAAGTAATGATTATTTGTCTCTTGTTACAATTATGGAATAGTTTGACAACAAGCAGGAAATGTCCATGGGCCAATAACATGACCACATTGAAATGATCTACACCAGTGGTTCTCAATTGGTTTGGCCATGAGACCCACATTTTGGCCAGTGGAGAAATTAAAATGGTCGTGCCGTCTGGTTCTCTCAAGGTTTTTTTTTTCTTCACTCTCTTATGGTGAAGTTTTTTTCCCTCTCCGATGTCGCCACTGGCTTGCATGGTTCAGGATCCGAAAAGCTACTCATCGATGAATTTGCTCTTCAAAGTTTGGACTCTCAGTAATGATTTCAAACCACACTGAACTGAGCTAAACTGAACTGAACTTAAACACTAAAAAACTAAACTACCCTGATCCAGTTACTATGACCATTTATGTGAAGCTGCTTTGACACAATCTACATTGTAAAAGTGCTATACAAATAAAGCTGAATTGAATTGAATTGAATTGAATTTTAACATGGTCATTATGCCGCGACCTACATTTTTAGGAACTATAATATAATTTTAGGAAATATAATTCATTTGTATTTATTTGTTAACATACACAAGTAGTGACCGATAAATCAAAATGTATCAAATTATAGTAATACTACAGAGTAAAAACGTCAAATACTGTAAACAATGGTTGGGGTAAGGAAAAGTTCAGTTACCATTTAGTAAACTGAACTGTTAATAAAACATTAACACATTAACACTGATCCTGTTGAACAGAACAAACCAGCAAATTAAAGTAAATTAAAACCAGCAATTTTTAATAATCACCAGTTATTTGCTCATCTGCTAATATGTGGGCTTTCTTAGCCTTCGCTAAACTGTGAGCTACACAGTCGATGCGCAGCGTGCCTGTACTGGTTTTGAACATGAAGATGTTTGGTACTTTTGTGATGCCCTCAGCTTTTGGAGTCGTCTTTGAAAATAGCCCGCAGGTTTGTCCTTGCAACTGGGATGTTTGGTTTCTTAATGTCATTTCAATTTAGAAGGTTTCATGCTCTCTTGTGAGAGCACCTCGCCACATATGACACACTGAGGTTTTAAGCCATCTTTGTCCTCAATATATGTAAATCCACACTTTACATATTTAAGGTCGTACTTGCACTTCAACATATTAGTTGCTTTATTCATTCATTCATTTTCTTGTCGGCTTAGTCCCTTTATTAATCCGGGGTCGCCACAGCGGAATGAACCGCCAACTTATCCAGCATGTTTTTACGCAGCGGATGCCCTTCCAGCCGCAACCCATCTCTGTGAAGCATCCACACACACACATTTACACACACACTCATACACTACGGACAATTTAGCCTTCCCGATTCACCTGTACCGCATGTCTTTGGACTGTGGGGGAAACGGGAGCACCCGGAGGAAACCCACGTGAATGCAGGGAAAACATGCAAACTCCACACAGAAACGCCAACTGAGCCAAGGCTCGAACCAGCGATTCAGCGATCTTCTTGCTGAGAGGCAACAACACTACCTACTGCGCAACTGCTTCGCCTTAGTTGCTTTAATTGAATGAAATTTCACATGTCAAACGGTACGGTTGTCGCATGCGCAGTTCAAAATAAAAGTCTGATATTAGCAAAATGAGATAAAAATTTAACTTTTGTTGTTTTTTTTTTTTATCACACACTCCGCGACCCACTGAAAATGTTCCCGCGAACCACTTTAGGGTCACGACCCACCAGTTGAGAAACACTGGTCTACACACATCTTTGGGTTTGCATGAAATGATAAATCTCATGCATTTGGAACAATGACTAAATAATTTCAGATTTTAATTTCATTATGAACTACCCCTAAAAGTCAAATTAGTGCACGTGAAAGGCATAAAAGTGACAATGCTATTTACATAAAATCCAAACAAATGCCTTTGGAAAGTAATTGTTTCCACTGTCTAATTTTCCAACATCGCAAAATCCTTTACTCTATAAATGCAGCGCTAGAAAGCATTCATGGTCCATGCTGAACTGGAAAACATTCACACTTCAATAAATTGTTTTAATAAGAAGCAAACATGCTACAACATTAGAGCTTACATCCATAAAACTGAAAGTCTTGAATTCAGATGCACACAAACACACACACACACACACATGCGCGCACAAACACACTTGTCCAGTCAAGCAGAAAGACGGGCTGACACTGTCCCCCCACACACACACCCACGCACACTAACACTCACTCAATATATGATTCTCAACACATATTATGTAAGGGATATAATGGCTTTCACAGTGGCTGTCTAGGCACACACTCAGATTGAGACTTAATTAATCCGATTTCATCTCTTGAATCCAAGTGTAATGGCTTGGAACCAAGCGTGTCATGAAAAATATATATGTCTCCAGCACTGCTACCATAACTATAGTTACAAACGTTAAATAGAACACAACAATGAATCAAAATAGCTTCACTTTATTCTTATACTTTTTTCCATTTCAGAATATAGATGTGACTGCCGTTGGACTTACCAGATGATGTCGTTAGGGGCAGGGGCGTATGAAACGTCCCACTGATGAGATCGCACCACTGTGGTAATGCTGGACTGCTGGGGTCTGTGGCGGCAGCGAGCTCGACTGTAGTCTTTCACAATACTGCACAAAAACAAGCACAAAGATGAACATTCACATAATGTAAGGGTAAAATTTTAATTCTTTTATTAATTTTTCTTCGGCTTAGTCTTTATTTCAGAGGTCATCACTGCGGAATGAACCGCCAACTATTCCTGCACATGCTTTAGGGGCCGATCACACCAAACGTGCTTTTTGCTTGAGAGGCACCTTTTTTTTGTGTGAATGATTTACTAACGGTTGCGGCCGTTTTTACCCACTGCTTATGCACCCTGCATGCCTCATGTTTTAACCGCCTGCTGTGCCTTACGTTTTTGTTGTTGCGTGCTGTGCGTTCCCAATTGAAAACATCAACTCTGAGCGGAAAAAGCATGTTATGTCAGTCTTTTTCATTCTCCAATCAAATGAAAGCAGAGGCGGGGTTTCCATTGAGGTGACGTCAGTGTTTGTGTTGTCAAGATGACTACAGAGACTTTTGAGTAGATGAGAAATCAGCGGTCGCTGTTTTAAATTATCCAGAGCTGTATGACTTCACAAATCATGAATATCACAATATTATTAATTCTTAAAATTATACCAATATCAGAGGCCACATGGTGGTGCAGTACGTAGTGCTGTCACCTTACGGCAAGAAGATCGCTGGTTCGAGCCTCGGCTGGGTTAGTTGGCATTTCTGTGTGGAGTTTGCATGTTCTCCCTGCGTTCACGTGGGTTTCCTCCGGGTGCTCCGGTTTCCCCCACAGTCCAAAGACATGTGGTACAGGTGAATTGGGTAGGCTAAATTGTCCGTAGTGTTTGAGCGTGTGTATGTTTGTTTTCCGAGAGATGGGTTGCGGCTGGAAGGGCTTCCGCTGTGTAAAACATATGCTGGATAAGTTGGCGGTTCATTCTGCTGTGGTGACCCCAGATTAATAAAGGAACTAAACCGAAAAGAAAATGAATGAATGAATGAAAACCAATATCAGTTCAGTTGTTTCTTAGTGACATAAAAAAGTGCACTTGTTTATTATTACTATTAACCATTTCAACATCAAAATGAGAAATGTTTTGACAAACTTTGTGACAATCATACCTTGTATGGAGAGTGGGTTGTATTTGTGTTCAAATTTTTTTTCTCTTTTTTTAATTGTAATTATTATTTGTCTTTGCTAATTGTTTAAAAAATATGATATTCTTTGTATTCTCACATTCTGCATAATGTTATGTATATTGTCAATAAAAATACTTATTAAAAAAAGTGCACTTGTCAACAAAAAAGGCGGTGCGGTGCACCTCATAAAAGCACGTTCAGTGTGATCAGCCCCTTACACAGCAGATGCCCTTCCAGCTGCAACTCAACACTGGGAAACACCCATTCACACACATACACTACAGCCCATTTCATTGAAAAAATTCACAGATAGTGCATGTCTTTGGATTGTGGGGAAAACCAGAGCATACGGAGGAAACCCACATAAACATGGGGAGAACATGCAAACTCCACACAGAAATGCCAACCAGCCCAGCCGGGACTCGAACCAGCGACCTTTTTGCTGTGAGGGGACAGTGCTGATCACTGAGCCTGCTGCCAAAAATTTGCAAAAAAAATTATACTAAATATGTAGCCAAAACAACATATTTCAGATTTGCAAAAACAACAGTGCCATCTAGTGATTTTGTCATTAGAATATGCAAGTAAATGTAACCGAAGCAACATATTTCGCATTTTGTAAAAAATGTAGCCAGAGGTGTGTATTTCCAACACTGTAAAAAATCCTACATGTTGTCCCAACACATATCGATAAAGTTAATCTATTCATTTTTTTCCGCAGATTTAAGTGAATTGAACATAAAATAATTTAGTAAAAAAACTAACAATTTTATAATTAACTAATAATTTTGTTAATTTAGTTTAAAAAATGGGATTGTGTTGGTTTAACTTATATAACATAGGTAGTTTTAACAAGTAGCAAAAGTAATGTTTTGAGTGACTGAGCCTGGGTTATCAATATCTTTTTTGCCATTAAAGAAACGCACATTTAAAGGCTTAGTTTAGTCAATGGTCAGTTCACCTAAAATCAAAATGTACCCCATGATTTACTCAACCTCAAGGCACTCTAGGTTTATATGACTTTGTTCTTTTAATCAAATCTATTTAGAGTTAAAGTCTTTGCACACAGAAGTCATTTTTTGTATGCTTTTCTTTTTTCATTTTCCTATCTGAAAAATATGTCACGCACATTAACCTTGGACACTGAGTCTGATGCATATTAACTAATCTTCAAAGAAAATATTGTATTCATCTAATCCACTGCACATAGAGGGAGGAGAGTTCACCATCTTATCAAACAGCTTCAAGCTAAAGTCCATACTGCTCACTATCCTGCTCTCATTAGCTTCTATTTCTCGAAGGATAATTGGTTGAGCCTCGCACTCTTGTTTCTTCACCTGAAGATCTAACTCTATCAGCTTAATTGCCAATATAGCATAAGAACCGGAATCTCTGGGATCCATGTCATAAGAATCAGAATTAGAGGCCTTACCTACCAACTCTGCTTCATTCTTAATAACAGCCTTCTCTGAAGCAACTAATATGCTAGCTTTCACCAGCTTCCCATACAATTCCTCTGTGATTACCTGCTTACTTGCCTCCTTCCATATGTTACAGTTAAAGAAGTCTGCTAACGAAACTAAGTCTCTTTTATGGCCACGGTTATATACTTCCAGAGTAGGAAATAAAGTAAACGAGACCAACTAAGGTTCCATACTTTCAACACTTTCAATGAGGATTATCAGGAAATGTAAAAGTTTATTTCAGGAAGTCAGTGGAATTTTGATACTTTACTTGTGATACTGCAGCCAGATAACACAACATGTTGAAGTGCTCTGTGCACAAATTTCTAGATTCTGACTTTTGCTTCTACTGTGGCTCTGAGCAAAACACATCCCAATCCAATCATGAAGAAATTGAACTGTTTCAAGCTATTAAATGAAAAGTTTAACATCGCCTGGTGCTCATTGAACCAGGTGTATGATAGTGGCCCAGAGTGTGTGTGAAAAAAAGCCAGTGTTCAAGAAAAAAGTAAGCAAACATTCAAAGCTTCCATTACCTTACATACTGATAGACTACACAATATCACTATATTATATACAAGGGGGCATCCCATTGACCAAGGTATGTTATTTCCAGACAACAACCGCTAAAACTAATAACACAGGCTCATCTGGGTATTTTGAATCATCTTGACTGTCAGTGAATATGTTCACATCTATAGTTATATGCAACCCAGGCCCATTATTGATACGTACCCTTATATACATTCCTAGAGATCATGAAATACGTCCCAGAGGTAAGTTTGTTTTTTTGCAGGTTTTGTTTTCACGAGTCCACTAGAGGCTGCTGTGTACACTTTTTCAGATCTCAAATTTAGTTTGCGAGTGCCATTCGTGCCTGCTGTTCTCCTGTAAATCCACCAGAGGACACTGTTAACTAACTGACTGACTGACCAACCAAGACCCCCAAGCACCCCTTTACACCCAACCGAAAGACCCGATTGACCCAACACCGCCTTCCCTAAACCTAACAGATAGTGTTTTTAAAAGCAATCCAGAAAAAGAAAATCCCTCACCAGATTTTTACCACATTTTCAGATTTTACCACACTATCACCCTGTTATTCACTTCTTTATTTTATTTTTTGCCTTTTGTTTGTTTTAAACGAAACAATAGTAACAGCTGAAAAGGGAGGTAATAGGGTCCATAGGGAAGTAAGCAGTCAGCAGGTAAAAAGAAACAGAATACCACGTAGCATTCGTTTCAAAGATAAAACGCAGCCATACATAGCTCTGGCTACATAATTCGCACTCTCCAGAAATTTATACGGGGTGCACTTTCACAATTAGCCTGGGTTGGTTATATGCTTGTTTTTTGACTGTTTTTGACTTTTTTCCACCAAGTTGTAATGGAATAATGTGCTAGTTAATGTATGCTTCATTCAGCTGTATTGATTTCTGTCAACTTCACATTTAATAAAGAAATTAAAAAAATATTATAGCACAGAACATTGTTTCATGTCTAATTTTATATTTGTAGCAAGCAGCCATGTAATGAGACGGATAATCAGGACATCCAGGCAGTTGTTTTCACAGAATAAAGTCCTTCAGTCTTATACAACAGGGCTCCGCTTCTCGTCAGTCTGTCAGGCTTTATTCTGCCCTAACAACTGCCTGGATGTATTTTCTTCCTTTCATAAAGCACTTCAGGATGATAAAAGACCCTGTGCTTCATGTCAAGGACAGGGCTTAGTCTGCAGAAACAACTGATGTACAGTACATGAACCTTTGCATAATGCTAACAGATCACAAGAACTTGGAACATAATTAAAAAAAGCTGGTTTACATTTAAAAATGCCGCAATTTCAGTTTTGTGTGTTTTATATATGCTCCACATGGACTCCCGGACAAACTGTGGGAAACGTGAGAGCTCCACGAAACAAAAATGTATAATAGTATGTACAAAAACATCAAACACGTGAAAACTCATTCATTTTCTTTTAAACTTACTCCCTTTATTAATCAGGGGTCACCACAGCGGAATGAACCGCCAACCTATCTAGCATATGTTTTACGCAGCGGGTGCCCTTTCAGCTGCAACCCATCACTGGGAAACGCCCATACACACATTCACACACAGACACTACACTACGGCCAATTTGGCTTACCCAATTCACCTATAGCGCATGTCTGGACTCTGGGGAAAACCTGAGCATCTAAAGAAAAACAACACGAACATGGGGAGAACATGCAAACTCCACACAGAAATGTTAACTGAGCCAGCCGAGGCTCAAACCAGTGACCTTCTGGCTATGAGGAGACAGCACTACCCACTTTGCCACCGCTCTGCTTCATATGTTTTACATTACTTAAAGGGATAGTTCACTAAAAAATAACAATTTTGTCATCATTTCCTCACCCTTCCAACGTTTCTTTCTTCAGTTAAACAGAAAAGAAGATATTTTGAAAAAGGTTGTAAACCTGTAACCATTGACTTCCATAGGAGTTGTTTTCCCTACAATGGAAGGCAATAGTTTTAGGTTTTCAGCTTTCTGTAATATATATATATATATATATATATATATATATATATATATATATATATATATATATATATATATTATTGTATTGTGTGTGTTTAACAGAAGAAAGAAACTCATGAAGTGTTAGAACCACTTGAGGGTGACTAAATAGTACATTTTAACTTTGTGTGAACTATCTCTTTAATCTGTCTACTGTAATCTTTTAATGGATGGTGCTGATGATCAACAATCGTTTCAAGAATGATCCGTTTCCCCCCAACACTTACACTGCTGTCATTCTCTCATCCCTGAAGGTCACGAATGCAATGCCCAGCCTCTTCATGGAGATCCAGTTCTTCTCTGCGTTAAACTCATCTGTCAGTTTCTCCTCCAGCTCGCTGTAGTACTGCTCTGCATCCACCTAATCAGAGAACAGTACTGTTAGACGTGATCAGACAGAGAGGAGCTGGTGTATGCTGGTCTCCAGTGGCCAACATGAGGAGGTGCAGAACCACACACAAATGGCCAGTCCAGACATATTAATACACCTGTTCTGATCCTTTACCTTTTCAAAGCCACATATATCACAACAGAAGATCTGTGCGCAAGGGTGAGTCTTGATCATGATCCTTCCGTTCTTCTGAGCTTTAGTTGTGAAGTACAGCCTTCCTTTCATCGCTTTTCGTCTAAAAGACCATATTTTAGTCACATTTTAGTTTAATGTATATTTCACGCTTAACACTTTTAGCTCCATTAACTGGAAATTAGATACTTATTAATAGTTAGTAGGGTAGTAGTTGGGTTGTATGTGTTAGGATTTACCACGTAAAATAAGGTCATACAAGTGCTAATAAATAGTTAATATCTAAATAATATGCAGGTTATAAGCCAGTAGTAAATGGTGGGAATTGTTATACAAACTAAAGTGTTACCCATATTTTGAATATACTAGTAGTTACTCATTAGAAATTATTACTTATTGTTAGATATCACACTGTAAAAAACTCTGTTCATTAACAGTTTACTTATTTTGTGATTCACAAATGTTTTTTGTTTGTTTGTTTGTTTATAGTTTTGAATTGCATTATGGGACCTTGATCTGTGCTCTGTCGACTTTTGATGTTGAAACTTCAACTCTACAGTTTAACAAAGTGATATTGAAGTAGTGTGAAACATATTAGTTAGTTAGTTAGTTGACTATATTGGTACCTGTAGGTAGATTCTTTTTGCAGCAAAGTTTGGCATTTGATACAAACAACTAAATCACATGTATACAGTTGAAGTCAGAATCATTAGCCCCCCTGAATTATTAGACCGCTTGTTTATTTTTCCCCAATTTCTGTTTAGCGGAGGGCAGATTTTTTCAACACACTTCTGCACTTAATACTTAAAAAAAAAAATCATTTCTAATAACTGATTTATTTTATCTTTGCCATGATGACAGTAAATAATATTTTCCTAGATGTTTTTAAAGACACTTTTATACAGCTTGAAGTGACATTTAAAGGCTTAACTAGGTTAACGCAAGTTATTGTATAACGATGGTTTGTTCTGTAGACTGTCGAAAAAATAAAGCTTAAAAAATAAGGCTAATAATTTTGTCCTTAAAATGATGCTTAAAAATTTTAAACGTTTTTTATTTTAGCCAAAATAAAACAAATAAGACTTTCTGCAGAAGAAAGAATATTGTCAGACATACTGTAAAAATTTCCTGACTCTGTTAAAAATAGAAATTTTTTAAAAAGAAGTAAAAGATTTAAAGGGGGGCTAATAATTCTGACTTCAACTGTACATACCCACATACAAATTATACCTTTTAAAAAATTACAATTTATTCAGAGCGACAATAGATGATGGGACAAAGCTATTCCTAAACCATTTTGTCCTACTAAAAAGCATCTGAAACCTATGACCCGAAGGAAGCAGGATAAACTTCTCAGAGAGAGGATCGGAACTACAGCTACTAATGTTCTGGGCTATCTGTAAAAGCTGCCTACTATCCAGGGATTCAATACTTAGCTGTGTTTCATCAATCAACCTGAGAGACAGACCTCCAAACCATGCCTCCAGAGCGAAGGATAGAATAGACTCAATAAAAGCACTATAAAAAAAGTGTAAGAATATTAGGGCCAATGTGAAAACGTGATAGTTTCCTAAGACAATGTAGGCGCTGATTCCCCTTCTTGCACACAGCATCACAGTTTGCCTCAAGGTCTAAAGATCATTCAATAATGGTACCCAAATATTTGTAGTTCTCCACACATTCTACTTTTTGACCTATGATATTAGTCACCTAAGCTGCTGTATGATTCCTTCTAAAATCATTAATTATATCCTTAGCTTTTGTTGCATTAAGTTCATGTATAAAAAAATAATAAATAGAGAAATAAGTCTGTAAAAAAACAGAACATGTTTATTACAAGGATTTTGTATTGTAATATACAACACCAACACCAACAATATATCACTTTAAACTATTACAAGTTATAATAAAAGTCACTTTTTCCAACTTTTCAGGGTGAAAAGTTGATGGAGGTCCTGTAATGCAATTCAACAGCGTAAATAAACAGAGAAAAAATTAAAACAGGGACCCCAAAATACAGAATGTTTTACATCATTAGGTATTGCATTATTAATACTAGTAACTATTTATTACATTCTAGTACTTATTCCCTAGATTCTAGATATTATTCTTATTTAGATATTAATATCTATAATAAAAAAAAAAAACTCATGCCAGAAGGACCAGCTGCTCTTGATTTGTTAGTGCCAATGCAATATATACAAGAACTTACTAAATAGATACAGGAACTCAGTCATTACTACATACATTACTGTAAATTTTAGACACTTGTATCTGTTAAATAGGAATTCATATTCATTATATTGTATTTATGCTAGTTCTTATTATTATTTACTAGTAATATTAGATATTTGATTCTATAAACTATATAATAGTACTCATTCAACATACCAATATGTATTTATTAGCAAGTTCTTCTTCAACAGTTACCAGTACACATTTTTCATAATCTCTATATAATCTGGTTAATAACTACACAGCGATTAGTTGACTTTATTTTTAAAAAGTGAGTAACCCGTTACCTTAAAAATATCAGGTAAATTAAATACATGCTTAATTACAAAACTTAAGTCAACTTAAATTGCAAACAATTTATTTGTGTTGAATTTAAACAAACAAATTAAGTTTAATAAAACTTAATTTGTTTGTTTAAATTTAGGCCAAATAAATTGTTTACAGCCACTTAACGTAAACAAACAAAAAAAAAAAAAAATTAAAAAGAAATAGTAAATCCAAGGAATCATCTCTGAAAAATTTTTTTCAGTGTACTCTTTAATGTCAACTTGCTATTTTAAGGCAATGGGTTTGCTCACTTTTTTTTATTATCCATTCATTTTCTTTTAGCTTAGTCCCTTTATTTATCAGGGGTCACCACAGCGGAATGAACTGCCAACTTATCCAGCATATATTTTACGCAGTGGATGCCCTTCCAGCTACAACCCAGTACTGGGAAACACCCATATACTCTCACATTCACACACATACACTACAGCCAATTTAGTTTATTCAGTTCACCCGTACCGCATGTCTTTGGATTGTGGGGAATACCAGAGAGACCGGAGAAAAAAAAAAAAAAAAAAAACCCACGCAAAAAAATTCACTTTTTTTTTAAGTCAGCTAAATACGTTTTACAGTGTAGCCCTAAGCCTAACCTTTGTGGTTTCCTTATATTACCCTGTACTTTCTGAGCTATTTCCTCACATTTTGACTGTTTATAGTACATTTTTGGTTTACACTTATTTTTAAGGTCTTCTTGTTACAGCAAAAGTACTCATTTACAATAACTAATCTATTAATTATATATTAATAGTATTAATCAAATACATATACAAACTAATTGGTTAATACTATGTAATTACTACATTGTAAAAAATATATGACCAATTAGTCATGACAGCCTTAGTTGATTGTAATTTATGAAACAAAGTAAATTATGTTCGTACTTAATTTGATAAGTTATGCAAGCTGTTTTAAGTCAGTTTAACATATTGTGAGTTCAATAGACTCATAAGGTTAATTTGATACAGCTTAAAAATTTAGGCAACCAGGATTTTTTTACAGTGTAAGAACATGGAACATGTGTAACAACTTTAAAATGAAAGTGTAACCATTTTAAAAATATTATTTAAATTTTTTTTACTAGCTTTACTAAGAAATTGTATTTAACTTGTTTGAGTGCCCATACTGGCTAATCATAGAAAGAGTTAATCAAGCTAATCAAAGAAAGCAGTTAAAATGACAACAAATGGCTTAAGACTATAGTGTCTTTAAAAACATACTATAGTGCATTAGGAATAGATGAATTACGCTTTTGTAAACATTTAGGACGCGAGTGCAGCAAGGTTGCAGAAAAAAAATGAGAGCACTAGCACACACAACTATAAGAGCAACAATGAATAAGTGCTGTAAGCAAGTTTCAGGTATGTAAAGTGTAAGAAGCAAAACATTAGTAATTTTTATTTTTTTTTTGTAATACAGTTAGCGGTAGAACCAGAGAGGCAATTGCAGATTAGGAAGGTAGAAGGGAAGTGGAGACTAAATAGTTGAGTTTTTAGTAGTTTCTTGAAAACAGCGAGTGACTCTGCCGTTCTGATGCAGTTAGGGAGTTTATTTCACCAACAGGGCAGACTGAATGCGAGAGTTTGGGAAAGTGATTTCATCCCTCTTTGGGATGGAACCACGAGGCGACGTTCATTCACAGAACGCAAGCTTCTGGAGGGCACATAAATCTGCAAAAGTGAGAGCAGATAAGGAGCAAAGCCAGAAGTCACTTTGTAAGGAAATATCAAAGCTTTGAATTTAATGCGAGCATCAACTGGCAGCCAGTGCAAACGGATGAGCAGCGGAGTACAAGAAAGGAATTAAAGGCATACAAGTCTTTGGATGCCAACAATTTTGTAATGATCCATAATTACGAGAATCAACATTATGTAGTCCTAAAAACCAAGGTTCTGCTAAGCCAAAGACAAGGAAAGAAGTCTTTACAACTTTACAAGGCCTGGGTAATCATCAACAAGCAAAACAACTGCATTCTGACAGTGAGCTGCAGCTGTACGGCAGGGTATGTGAACGTACATTTTTACATTTCATTCTTAGCATTTAGCGTGTGCATCCATATTTAACTGTTTTTGTTGAATCATTGCTGCAATCAAAAACGAGTAATGTGTATGATTCAGCATAGCGTGAACTTACCTGATATAAAATGAGAACTGCAGAGTCGAGCATTTTTAATCAGGTCCTCACTCCATTCAGCTCATGATGGATGTTAGCCAAAGATGTCTGCGGTTGGCATTAAAGCAGTGTGGTGTACGGTAAAAGTTAAGTTTTCTATTTAAAATTGGTATCCTACCGCACAAAATGTCATGTTTGCTATTGCAACCGGCCTTTTTTTGCAACCGCTATGCGCGATTGAACCCATGTGACATCATGTGTGATGTAGATTGGTAAGTCCCCTATAAGTACTAGTAATTCAAAAAAGTATAGTAATACAGGCAAGTAGTTCTTTAGTTTGAGTAACATTTCACACTATTTACTACTGACTTATTGCTTGCCTATTATTAAGATATAAACTGTTTGTTAGCACTTAAAGTACTGTATAAAGTATGATCTTATTGTACATCCCTGATCCAATACCTAAACCCAACTTCTACCTTACTAACTAAAAATAAGCAGATATTTAGTAGTTCACTGAGGTAAAACTCTTAGTTTATGGTTTGTTAACAGCATGAATTGTACATTAAAATAATGCGTGACTGTAATACATGTTAAGTATCAAATGTTAAAACATCTTGGCATTCATTATAATAACATTCATTTACAATATTTGCTAGAAGATGAGTGTAAACATGTGAATGACCTTTCTGAATCCAGCTTCATTAGTTTCTGCACGTTGAAGCAGAAGTGGATGTCTGTGACGGTGCAGCTGGGATAAGCTTCACTGTTTGAACACAGAGGAGAAATGGGGTTTTTACACTCGCCTGTGTTGACATTTAATATCCAGCATGCTGAAGAATGGAGCTCAGTATATCAGATATGTGCTTTTCACTCACTGCAGGTGTTTGGTGATCAGGCCGGGATCAGAGATTTCGCGGGGAATTGACGTTATCATTAGAGTTCTGGCCACCTGCAATGATAATAAATCAAAAATGAGAGCCAGCAGGGCAATTTATGAAGGGAATACCAGTTCTTGCAAGGCAGTAAAAGAATATAATTCTCTGGTAGAAAAGTGATTGCAGGTATATCAATGAAAACATTGCTGAAATAGCATCAAAGTACTGCTTTATGCAGATTCGTTTAACACACTTATCATTATACATTTGTTTTATTTGACAAATAACTGAATACTATTTGTTTATCATTCTGAAACCAGCAGTTTCCTTGGCATGTTTTTAAACACTATTTATTGTTAAAAGCATTAATATAAGCATGAATTCCTTTATAAACAATACATTTATTTTGAAAAAGTGGTGCAGTAGGTAGTGCTGTCACCTTACAGCAAGAAGGTCACTGGTTCGAGCTTCGGCTGAGTCAGTTGGCGTTTCTGTGTGGAGTTTGCATGTTCTCCCTGCATTTGCGTGGGTTTCCTAAGGTTGCTCCGGTTTCCCCACAGTGCAAAGACATGCGGTACAGGTGAATTGGGTAGGCTAAATTTTCCGTAGTGAATGAGTATGTGTGGAAAATAAATGAATGAATGACTAATCTATGAAATGTTTCTTTTACTTTTGCAAAATGTAATTATTCTTTCATTAATTTTCCTTAGTCTTAAGGCCCGTGCACACCGGGATGCTTTTTTCTTGCATTTTCCGTTGACGCTTAACGCCTCGTGACTAAATAAAGTGCGCTAATGTAATTGTGCTTACCAAAATGCCAGGCACAAAAGTGAAACTCAATAAGTGCACAACAGAATGTTACGTTTACACACACATGCACAAATCACATGTAAACGTATCAACTTTTATAAGCATAAAACACACTACTCACTACGCTTGAGTACTTTAAAAAAGGGCTACTTTTTACTCATACTTTGAGTAATATTTACAACAGATACTTTTATTCTACTTGTACTACATTTTTAGGCAAGTAATGGTACTTTTACTTGAGTATGATTTTTCAGTACTCTTTCAGTCTTAAGGCCCGTGCACACCGGGATGCTTTTTGCTAGCATTTTCCATTGACGTTTAACACCTCGTGACTAAATTTAAGGTGCCAATGTAAAAGTGCTCACCAATGCGCAAAATGCCAGGCGCAAAAGCATTATTTTTATAGTTGTGTAACGGCATCTAACGTCAAGGAGTGATTATGCATACTCTTCTGCTCGACGCAAGTGAAAATCACTTGGGTCTCAAAAAACGCTGATGATAAACGCAAATGAAAAGCGTCCTGGTGTGTACGAGCACTAAGTCTATATTTGAAAAGTCGCCACAGCGGAATGAAACGCCAACTATTATTGGCAATCTAGTATTGGGAAACACTCATACATGATCATTCACACACACTATGGGCAATTTAGTTTATTCAGTTTACCTATAGCACAGGTGTTTGGATTGTGGGGGAAACCAGAGCACCTGGAGGAAACCCACGCCAACACAGGGAGAACATGCAAACTCAACTCAACTCAAACCAGCGACTTTCTTGCTGTGAAGCGATAGTGATGACCACTGAGACACTGTGCCATCCAAAATGTAATTGATAAAATATTTTTTCTAATTTCTTTTCTATTTCTTTTCTAATTATTCAATACTATATTATAATCACATCTTCTTGGTATATGCAGGAATCAGAGAGTATTGTTCAATTCTTTTAAGATCTTCTTTGAAGATTTTTTCCATACATTTTAAGACATCATAGCCACTTTCGGTTTCAAACGGTGGCATTGCTGACATTTTAACTTACAGAATATTTACTAAATTATTAAGAAACTAATACAAAACTAAAACGTTATTCATATACTGAATAAAAATGCTAATCCAGCAGGTGGCATCAAAAGGACTGCTGAAATTCTGGTATTGCCTTGGTTAATAGAGTAAACAAAGCAGCGGGATGTCAAATCGATTTTATAAACTACATGGGATCCTGATATACCATCCCAAGCTCATTCTGATTACGCAACCCTATATACATTCCTGGAGAGCGCCAAATATGTTCCATGAGCTATGTTTTTTGGCAGTTTTTGTTTTCGCAAATCCACCAGAGTGCTGTAAACACATATGAGATCTCAAATTGCTCTCACGAGTTCTTTTCGTGCCAACTGATCTTGTCGACTGACTGAATGACTGACTAACAGACTGAATAGTTTTTTTCAAAAGCATCAACTGACCTGCCCACCACCTTCCCTAAACCCAACTGAGAGTTTTAAAAAGCAATACAGAAAAAGAAAAACCCTCGTCTGCTTTTTACCATGTTTTCAGATTTTACCACATGTTTACCCTGATATTTACATGTTTATTTATATTGTTGGCTTCTGTTTTTGTCTTACCCGCTGTCTGGAATCTTTCTTTGCCAGACTCCATTGTCGCAGGTCAACTTTGCTCTGCATCTCAAGTCTGCCGACATACAGTAAGTGTCAAGCTACCGGACAAACTGGTAACAGCGGAAAAGCTGCCCATATGAAGGTAAGCAGTCAGCTGGTAAATGTGAAAAGGAACGGCCTCATACCGCCCCATAGCATTCGCTTTAAAGATGAAATGCAGCAATACATTCCTCTGGCTACATAATCTGTGATTTCTAGAAATGTATATAGGGTACGTTTTCAGAACAGGCCTGTGTTGTGATATTCGCAGATTAAATTCAGACAAACTTTAGCACAATGATAAAAATACTAATAACTTGTAAAATAGCATTTAAGACATTTTAATACTTTTTAAGGACCCTAAATGTGTCTAAATTGATTGATTGACTTCATTTATATTTCATCAATAATATAAAACCTTTCTTCATTTATTTTGTTGCAAACATTCACTTGGTTGTCTTGCAATCGCTGTGCAGTGTCCTTTATGGAAGAAATATAAGGTGTAATTACACACACACACACACACACACACACACACACACACACACAAACACACACACACACACACACACACACACACACATGTACACACATATACACACACACACACACACACATATACACACATATACACACGCACACACACCAACCTTCTCGTCCTCTCTGTATTCCAGTCGTGAGGAATGATGTGCCATGCACAACACGGTGATCACAAAATACAGCAGAGCGAAGATACTGTGCAACCACAGAAATATGTTCCTAATGCGAGAAGACAGAACTAAGATTAGGATCATGCAAACAACCTTATAAATAAGCCAATTAAATCAACAAACCTATACTTTTCAGCTCTTCATCAATCGTTTAAAGCCCAACTCACTTTGCATGCACATAAAGCAATGTTTAATAGAAAAAGAAGCAGATGAGTAAGATTTAAAGGGATGGTTCACCTACTAAGGAAATATTTCTCACTACTTATTTAGCCTGAGGTTTAAAACCTTTATGAGTTTCTTTCTTCTGTTCAACACAAAAGAAGATATTTTGAAGAGATCTGAAAACCTGTAACCATTGACTCCCTTAGTAATCACAAAGGCTATGGATGTAATAGTTATGGGCTTGCAACATTTTTCAAAATATCTTCTTCTGTGTTGAAAAAAAAAAAAACTCATAAAGGTTTAAAGCAAGTGAGGGTGAATTAAAGATAACAGACCTTTCCTTTTTGGGTGAACTATCCCTTTAAGCAGGCCTTGAAATGTAAATTTGTTTAATAATTAATAATTCAAATATACTTTTGTTAAATATAACTATCATTTTATTTTTAGGAATTACAGTTTTTAAAATTATTTTGAATTTTGAGGGAATTTCATACTTTTTTGAAATTAATTATTAGCCCCCCAGTTCCCATCCCCCACCCCCCCACCCCCGTTTATGTATAAGGGAGAGAAGATTTTCAGCACATTTCTAGGCATAATAGTTTTAATAACTCATTTCTAATAACTGTTTAAATATATATATAAGTAATAGTATATATTAATAAGCATCAATATGCTATTATTCTTTGCCATGAAGACAGTAAATAATATTTAAGTATTTTCAAGACACTTTTATACAACTTAAAGTGACATTTACAGGCTTAACTAGGTTAATTAGGTTAACTAGGCAGGGTTGGGTAATTAGGCAAATTATTGTATGTTGTTTCTTCTGTAGACTATCGAAAAAAAAAATTTGCTTAAAGGGGCTAATAATATTGACCTTTAAAAGACTTTCTCCAAAAGTACAAATATTATCAGACATACTGTGAAAAAGTGACATTTCTGTGAAAATTCATATATATATGAATTTTAAATAGTATAAAAAAATAGTGTGTAAGAAACCATCTATTAAATCCACACATTACATTTAAATGAATGTGCATTTTGATTGGCAACCCTGTTCAGAGGCAATATCTTAATGACCCATGCAACACAACTCTATTATTATTTTCTAAGCTGCTAAAGGGAGCTTAACTTTAAAACATAACTATTGGCAATAATACATTGTAAAAAGTTGTTGAATTTACATTTAAAAAAACAAGCTCAGTTTTTTTTTTTTTTTTCTTTTATTGTCAAAACCCATCATTAAACCCAAACTCACTGTGCAGGAACATTAACCACCGTTGTTCGTCCGAAATTCTCTGGATTATCTCCTGAAAAGCATAGAAACAAACAACATGTGTTTATATTTCATGTTCCTCTCGCATGCCAACTCTCAAAAATAAAAGTCTGAAAGTATCTTGAGGCCTGTGTGGTACAGCACAAACTGAGAATTTGAAATTAAAAAAAAAAAAACACCAACTCTACACCCAAATCATTATGCTCTAGGTTTGGGTTGCCATGACGAATTTGTGAATGCATGTGCTGGTTTACATCACAAATACAGTGTCAAACTGTTGCACAGAGATGACAGTCAGAGTCTAACCCCCACCCTTTTCTAACCAGCAGTGCCACAGACCGGTTAACCACACATCCACATTTAACGCCACAGTAAACTTCTGCCACTGAGGTCTTCGGAGTCACATGAAAAGCTCATTGCAGGTTTGAGAACAACACGAGGTAAAGCCGGCGGTTTCCACCATTGCTGTTCTTGTGGCGCGGACAGTCAAGGCCTTTCCCATATTTAACTTGGCTCTTCAAACCCTCTATCGTGCCACCCAGTCATCTTCAAACACTGTAGGGTGGTCTGAATTATGCTTTTACACGCGTCCACTAATAGAGGGTTGAGACTGAGCGCTTCTGTCCCTTCAACGGTTTTCCCAGGCTTTTCCTACAGTCATTCATGGGCAAGCCCACACAACAGCAGCATCTGCACAACTCAGACTTTTACAGCTGTTTTCAAATGGCAATCTTTAATATAAAAAAGAAGAAAACGACGAAGAGGAAGATGAAAAGGTATTTAAAGGGATGGTTTAGCTAATAAGGAATTTTTTTCACTATTTATTTAGCCTGAAGTAGATCAAAACCTTCATGAGTTTCTTTCTTTCGTTCAACACAAAACAAGATATTTTGAAGAGATTTGAAAAACTGTAACCATTGACTCCTATAGTAGGAAACACAAAATACAGGCTACATACTAGATTACAGGCTTTCAACATTACACAAGTAAACACAATATAAATATAATATAATATAACACAATATAAACACAAGTACTATGAAAGTCAATGGTTACATACTTCCAACATTTTTTAAAATATCTACTTTTGTGTTCAACAAAATAAACAAATACTATGGGTCAATGGTTACAGGCTTCCTATATATATATATATATATATATATATATATATATATATATATATATTTATATATATATTTAAATATCTACTTCTGTATTCAACAAAGTAAACAAAAACTATGAAAGTCGATGGTAACAGGCTTCCAACATTTTTTTAAATATCTACTTTTGTGTTCAACAAAATAAACAAATACTATAAAAGTCAATGGTTACAGGCTCACAATATTTTTTTAAATATCTACTTTTGTGTTCAACAAAACAAACACAAAATACTATAGAAGTCGATTGTTACAGGCTTTCAACATTTTTCAAAATATTTACTTTTGTGTTTAACAAAATAAACACAAGTACTATGAAAGTCAATGGTTACAGACTTCCAACATTTTTAAAAAATATCTACTTTTGTATTCAACAAAATAAACAACTACCATGAAAGTCTATGGTTACAGGGTTCCAATATTTTAGCAAAATTAATTTTTATTTCTCAAAATTTAATGTTCGCTTCATAATTTTTTTTTGAGATTTGCTTTAATTATTATTATTTTTTTTTTGCTCCATATTTAATTTAATGTTTGCAAAATTTTGTTTTATTTTGTTAGTATATATGGCCCAAGATTGACTCCATAGTAACTACAGCTCTAGTGTTTGGTTTTGAAAACACTACTGATTGGGTTAGGTGAGTGGTTCACTGGTCTAGATGATCTACAAAAAGGACGTGTATCTAAAACTTACAATAAAATGTACCCTAAGTAACATATTTCAGATTTGCAAAAATGTGGATAGTCAAGTGGATTTGTTATCTAAAAAGTGTATTGAAAATCAAGAGCTCATATTTTACATTTTGCTAAAATGTAGGATCAGGTATGTGTTTCCAATAAGCCTAGGCTGAGACTCTCAGTAGAGTTCAGGTCAATTGCCAGTCAAATTTTATGCAAAATGAAGCATTCCTTCTAAATTTAAACTAGGTGAATCTTGTTATTATTGTCATCCTGAAATATTGCCATGGGATATTTCATCTGACATGATGTTTACTGATATTAAAGTTCTGCTTTGCATTAACTAGGTTTTGCAAATCATATAGAATGCATATAGAATCATACAAGTAAAATTGTTGGCAAAATATAAAATGCCATTGATCACTGCAATTAAGATCCAATAATATGCTCTTAACCATTTACTTAAACCCAATATTTTGTGGTCAAAGAAGAGTATATTAATTTTGAAAGAAGCTTATCTTCATGTAAAGCAAATAGTCGAAATCAGAATTTTTAGCCTTCTTGTGATTATTTTTATTCTCAAATATTTGCCAAATGATGTTTAACAGAGCAAGGAATTTTTCACAGTAATTCCTTTAATATTTTTTTCTTCTAGAAAACTTCTTATTTCTTTTATTTTGACTGCAATAAAAGCAGCTCTAAGGTCAATATTATTAACTCCCTTTAGCAATATTTACGTAGTTATACAATAACATGCCTAATCCCCCTAACTCGTCTAATTAAACTAATGAACCTAGTTAAGCATTTAAGTGTCACTTAAAGCTGAACACTAGTATCTTGAAAAATATTATGATAAATATTAAAATAGTATGTGTTGTCATTATGGCAGATATAAAAGACATCAGTTATTAGAAATGAGTTAATAAACTATTATGTGGTTGAAAAATCTTCTTTCCGTTCAACAGAAATTGGGGCGGAAATAGTAATTTAGGAGGGCTCATAATTCTGACTTCTGTATATATCTTTATAGAACATTCTTCTAGACTACAGCTTCAAAATCAGTGAAAGAAGCCCAATTACTCAAACAGCCTGTCAAAACTAATTTATGAGATTATTCTAACCAGCCTTTTTTAGGTTTAAGCGCGCTGATGAATTAAGCAGTTGATGTAATGTTGTTTTATAAATATACTGCCTTTTCCTGGAGACTGAATGTGTTGTGTCTGTTGTCATGAACCCTTTATGGCTGAGCACATGCTGGAGAAAAAAGTAACCAGTGCAGGATGTGTGTAGTGAAGGTACCGAGGAGGTTTCCAGAGAGATTCACGGGCAAGATGATGGTGAGGGACAGCAAACACACTACCATCATCAGCAGAATTATGTGGCGCTGGAAAGACAAGTATGTGACCGCATCAATGCCACATTTACTGCGGATCTCTTCATCCCTGCAGGGCAAAGAAAAGAAAGCCTTATTATGATCTTTACATTGGTATTGCTTCATTTGGCAGACACATGGAAAACAAGCTACAGTAGGTGAGAGTTCAAGGTGACCCTTACTGCCGCACAATCTACCGCCTATTTATGTGATGTGGGAAAATGGTGTGTTTCAATCCGGCTACCACCGCAAGCGCGGGAAGCACTGTAATTGATACAGTTTTTTCCAATAAGGTGGTGAAATAAATACATTAACATTTTTATTAAGTGTTGTTCAAATTAAATAATATTAATACAAAAACATTGATTTAAAAAGTATTTTGTGACACCCACATCAGTCATTGAAACACAGGTTTGTGTTTTAAATAATATCTCATAATCTATGCGTTAATTTTAGGGCGATAAAAACTATTTAAAGGGCACCTAGGTTACCCCTTTTTTCAGTTTTAATATATATGTTTTGCGTCTCCAGAATGTGTATGTAAAGTTTCAGCTCAAAACACCCATCAGATTTTTCATTATACCTTTTACAAGATCCTATTTTTAAACATTTTTTCCACCAGGGGGCTGTTTAGTTGTACTGCGCCTTTAAGGATAGTCCGCCCCGCCCAACGTTTTCTACGTGCCTTGTCAATGTCAATGTAAAAAGTTCACGCGTGTGCACTTACACAGATAAACACACACACACATACAGACGACATACACACACACTGACAGACAGAGCGCGATTAGCTTTCTCTTTTTGCACATATATGTGACAGGATACAGGCAAATCTCCACTGCTGAATGGATATCTGTTATGTTAATGTACAAAATAAACCAGATTTAACGTCCACAAACCAGGATTGAAGCGTCTTCTTTCATAATTGTTCTGACACGCGGCTGTGCTGATGAAGTAAATCGCTGTACTTCATTACAAATGTGGACTGTTTTAAAACATTTTAAACATGTGAAACTCACTCTTGATCACATTTGATGATGATTGATGATCCTAGCGAACTGAACAGACTTTTTATTCCCGGTTGCTTTGCGCACGTCTAGTCTTGTTGATATGATTATACGCGTGACTACCGGGACATGCTACGCAAAGGCACGTGCACACATAGGGCTCAACCTGTGCCGTGCACACGCCCTTTTTAGTCTTGGATAGAAAGTGAAGAAAATGATCAAAAGTGCCCCCGCGACACGACACACCCTCCGTTCCGCCCTTCAATAGGCGCGCGACAACACCGCTCTTGAGTACGCGCGCTTAACCCCCCCTCCACCCACTTTACAGTACGCACGTGACAACACAGCTGATCATAACGTGCGCGACTACTCCTCTTTTCAGTACGCGCGTGACAACAACCAACACCCCCACCCCCCCGCTCTTTGTCCTGCACATGCCCTTTGGATGGTCTCTGCACGGGCCTGCTGTCAATCAATTTGGTGGGCGGGGAGACCGCACTCCTACGTCAAGTTGCGGTCAGTCTGAAACCCGCTCCAATTGGTCCACCTTTTTATGTTGTTGAATTGAAAAAAAAGGACTGGGTGTGTTTATATCACCCCAACATGCCGGTCTATACACTATCTACACATATGTGTCTGAACAGCTTGAAAAGTAGATTTTTCACCATAGGTGCCCTTTAATGACTATGCAATTAATGCAATACTATATGTAAAAACTAAACTATTTTATACAAACTTTTGGGAAATGACAAATCAACAAACTATAATTGTAACAACGGAACTTGCAGCCTTAGTTGGCTAATGATGGTTTTGGCATCCCAGGTTGTGAATGATATTTTTCCACACTATAGGCTAATCTATGCAGTGCAACAGGTAAAAATTTTGCTTTTGACCTAGATATCCAGTCAAAGCACCACACATATTGTTTTATAGTGTGTGCTGTTTTTCATATGCGCTTGTTTAAGATTTGAGGTAATAACATCGCCATGATGGTCACAGAATTCGAAACATTCTTTTCACCCCAACGCAATTTAATAGGGCACTATAAAGGCTAAAAAATTTAATTCTTATATTTGCTCTTTGCAGCCTATGGCTATACTTCTCACCATGTATCGTTTCTAAAACATACAGTATAGTGTAAAAGCATGTTTATTACTAAGAAAACTAAAACAAAATTATATTTTAATTAAACACATCACATCACATCACATAAGGTACACATACAGAACCGTCTATTTAGTATTGTGAAAAGGCAAAGCTAAAAATCTCTGGTTAAAGCGCCACCCAGCGGTCAAAAGCTGCTGGCGCATCAACTACCGCCACCGCCACGGTATGTACGGCGACAAAGGAAACATATTAAAGTAGTGACATCTGTAATTGTATTATCGTCTTAATAGTTCACAACAAAAGCGAAAAAAAAATTCATTTACTCAACTCAATGGATTCTTTTATGAATTTCTTTCTTCTTTTGAACACAAAACAAAATATTTAATTAAACATTATTGGAAACAGCAGACCTTGACATCTTTAATAGAAAAAAAAATGCTATGAAAATAAAAAGCAGTTTTTTCTCAGCATTCTTCAATATCTTCCTTTGTATTCAATGGAAGAAAAAAACTTAGACAGGTTTAGAAGTGGAGGATGAATAAATGATGTTTTTGTGGGTGTACAATTATTATTACTATGGATCTTTTTAATCATGCATAGAGACATAAAACTATATAGCAAAGGCTACATATACATATTTTTTTCATAGTACAGACATCTTCAAAAATGTTTTGAACTAACAATAAAAAAAAAATTAAATGTTTAACTAGAAAAGATTTTGGAAAACTATAAAACATTGGTTGGTAGTGGTAAACTGAACTAAACTACAGACTCTCATTGCTAAAAACGGCAAAGTAGTCCAATTAGGAATAGAAACTCTTTATTCATTCATTCATTCATTCATTCATTCATTCATTCATTCATTCATTCATTCATTCATTCATTTGTTCATTCATTATTTATTTATTTATTTATTTATTTAAAGATTTATACTAAAACTTTTAATCAAAACCAAGACATAATAAAATAAATCTAAAAATAAGTAAAAAAAATATGTATTTTCAATAAATCCATCACTTTAAACTTTTAATTAATAAATAAATTCTGAAACAAAAGCATATACGCAAAAGCATTAAGCAGCACAACAAATCAGCAAATTAGAATAATTTCAGAAGGATCATTTGACACTAAAGACTGAAGCTTTTCCATCACAGAAACAAATTCTACTGTCATAAAATGCTAAATTATTTCACAATGTTTTTGTATTGTACTATTAGAACAATCATACTGCATTTTAAGTGCATTAAAAAAATTACCAAACCTAAGCTTTTCAATGTTACTGGATATTAAAGAAACCCTCTTACACACTTTCTTGGGAAATAGGTTCATTTTACAAGTCCAAATACAGCTAAACAGTTTATTTTTACCATGTTTCAATCCATTAATCCGATATCCAGGTCTGGCAGGATCACTTTTAGCTTAACGTAACATAAATCATTGAGTCATACAAGATATTGGCTCCAATTTGCTTAAATTCACACCTGCCAGGATGTTTGTATTAGCTGCTTCAGGAGTGTCTTGTATTTGCAGATAAACTCTACAGGACACCAGCCCTCCAGGACCAAGTTGAGCATCCTGGATTAGACCATTAGCATCTCACTTAAATTATTTGTTTTTTGTCCATTTTCTTATTTGCTTAAATCTTCTGTAGTTACATTGTGACTGACAGAAACGTTGCTATTTTCTAGGCTGATATAGCTAAGAACTATATTTTCACTCTGTGCGTCATAATCTAGAAACTTTGCTGCTGTACCATGGCTGCAGCAGGTGCATTGATATTATGTATGACAGTTACTTAGCTAGATAAGTAATGTTCAGGTGCTACATAATATAATTATTGACCTAGAAAATAGACACTTTTCATTTTCCACCAATCTTAGTACACTACAGAATAATTTTTGCCATTTAATAACTTTGTTAAAATAAAACTCACATATCTATAATTCCCTGAATTTTACTAAATATGTGTTTATTTTATTCTAACACTGTTATTTTATTAAAACTACAAAACACAAAAGATACTATTTCTATCAAGAACTATCAGAGCGATCAAAATGACCACATGCATTTCAGTTACCTCAAACAGCTTAAAATCACCAAGAGGCGACACTCTGGTGCGATTTGGTAAACAGACACTAGACTCCACGGTCTGTAAAATAAATCATTAAACGTGCTAATGATTATGATAGTAAATGTTGTATTGTCGTCTTTCAGGTTGTATCTCAGCTTTAATGCGCTTTTTAAATAAATAAATTAAAAAAGCAGCTGCTTGCCATCGCAACAGCAATAAGATCCAATGGATAGTCGATCACTTTCACTCCAAAATGACGGAATCCAGGGTTGTTGCTTGGCACTGCTGTTGCAATGGAACGTTCTATTGAGTGTTGCCTCTTAGTGATTCTAAGATCTTTGGTCACCTGCAACTGTCCCTGTGACTTTAAATATGCATATCTCTGTTGCCTAGCTTACTTCAAGCAAACAAAAACAAAACATTCTCTTAGCAAAAACATAACTTTACTTCCGATACGTCTTTTAAAACAGCATATTTAGTGCCCGGAAACTGCTTTTTTTCCCCTGCTTGTGAAAGTGAAAATTAGTGGGTGGTCTAAAATGTAGTCTAACCATGTATTTATAGGCTGTATTACAAATAAAATGTATTGCATCCTAAAAACATGTAATTTTAGGATGATATGTTAAACATGAAGACAGACATTCAAAGCTTAATTTTAATGCCTCAGTAGAAGCTTTAAATGTAAATAGGACCTGTCTTATATGAGAACGCTTAGAATGACCGCTATGCTAATTCTAGTTACAGTAGTTACATCATTAAATAACAATAAACAATGTAAAATAATTTAAACTTTTTTTTTTGTCTTGAGCGAGATGCTAATGGTCTAATCCAATTCAATGATCTATGCTAAGCTAAGCTAAAAGTGCTCACATCAGACCCAGAGATCGTCTGAATGGTTTCAAAAATGGTAAAACTCAACTGTTTGACTTTAAGGGAGCTGTAAAATGAGTGTAAAAACAAGTGGAGTGTTCCTTTAAAGCTTTTCCAGATTACTTGAAAACAACTTTTTTTACACTTAAAAGTGCCCAGGAAGCCTCTGTGACCATGTTCACTCTGTTCCCAGAGAATTATTGGCTTCAGTCAACAATATATGTGTGGCAGCTTCTTTAAAAGACCACACAAATACATAAGAGCATTGAGGGCTATTATGATTATAAGATACAAACACACACACACACACACACACACACACACACACACTCACACACACGCCTCTGGCTTCGCCTCACACAGAGTGAGGAGACTCTCAAGAAGATTTTTAAAAGGAACCAGCTAAATATGGCACGGACACGCTACCCGAGTCGTCCAAATAACATCTCAGCAACCCTGGAGACAGACTAGCGGTTCTGAAAGGCTGTTTTTGAGACATTAGATGTGCTGGGAAACTGCCCGGTCCACTTTTACCCCAGTGTTTTCCCTTCTTAATGAGATATAACATGAGCAAACAGGACGCCGCTTGATGACATCACCACTTCTGCACACTTACTTCATGTGGTACAAAGATGTGAGCCAGGAACAGAAGCCCTATAAAGAGAGGGAGGGAAGACAACGGTGTCATAAAAAAGGCCTGGATAATAATAATAAAAAAAGAGCACGTCTGGCTAGCTTAGCATCTGTCGAACTCATTTGTTCTTTAAGTGAACATGCGCAGCGTAACAAGCGGAAAAAAGCCAAGCATATCTTTAACATGGCTGTGAGGACGTGAACTGTCATCGCACATAAAACACAAGGAGACAGAGTGAGGTTAGGATATAAACGGACAGATACTGTGCATAAAAGAAAATAGCGTCTTTTGAGATGACATCAGCTCCGGGGTGATGCGGTTGACTAATGCACGTCGACAGATTGAACTTTGTTTGTGCCTCTATGTGTCTTTAGGTTTTAGCAGTTGTGAATATGGATGATTATAGAGGTGACTGGGATGCTAGAAACAATTTCTATTAGTTGCACTGATGCTTTTATTTGTTTTCATGCAATGGTTTGGGATTTTGTATTGTCGGATTTGGTTCACTCAAGAAAAGATAGTGTTTCTGCTTGATCAGGTGTTCCCAAGATACGTCTTGTCTTGCAAGTAAAAAGAGCTTTTTATATGTTATAATTATAAAAAATATACCAATAAAAAGTACAAAACTAAAAAAAAACAACAAATATATACAGGTGAAGTCCGAATTATTAGCCCCCTTTGTTTTTTTTTTTTTTTTTTTTTTAATATTTCCCAATTGACATTTAACATAGCCGGGAAATTTTGTCTGATAATATTTTTTCTTCTGGAGAAAGTCTTATTTGTTTTATTTCGGCCAGAATCAGTTATTAGAAATGAGTTATTAAAATTTCCCCAATTTCTGTTTAACAGAGAGAAGATTTTTTGATAACACTTTATAATAACTACACACTATAAATCATTTATTAAGCATTAGCAATAGTAATTTAATTATCTGTTAAGCATTAACTCTACATTAATAAGTGTTAGTAAGCAGTTTATAACTGCAGCTACAAATGCTCTATTCTTGACTTATAAGCACCTATATAATGTGTTTAATGATTGTATTTTCATACTCTGTTAATGATTTATTTTTCATGACTAAATTTAGTATCGAATTATTTACAAACTGTTTGTATTTAAGAGTAGTTGAGGGTTTTCAGGACCATTCAGAATGAGTTAGTAAATGATTAATAAACTAATGAAATCAATGTTTATATGTCTTATTATTCAGGCATATATTAATGGTTTCTATATATGTTAATAAATGCTTAATTAACTCAACTTCATGCAGTTTTGTGACCTAATCTAAAGTGAGGACTATTTATGCTTTATAAATCCCTTATAAATGACAAATAAAGACTCAGTTAAATTCTAAACAGGAAAAAAATTATTATTATTCATTTCTTTTCATTTAAAGATACACAAATGAAACTGTACTTCAAATGAAAAATAAATCTTTGCAACCTGATCTAAAATAGAATCACTATCGAGTTTAAACATTACATCTTTAAATTATTATGTTGTTGTTGTTTTATCCAGTTGGATGTCATGTTTTGACACTCCTGTCTTTTGGCAATGTTTAAACTTTACAGTAATTTTACTTTTTAGAAAGATTGCACAGATTATCGTTCATTTGATACTGAGCCTTTAATAGTCATTTATAAGGCATTTATAAAGCATGAGTAGTGCTCACTTTAGATTAGGTCACAAGACTAAAAAAATAAATAAATAAAGCATTTAATAATATATTAGTTAACTATTACTATATGCCTGAATAATAAGACATATAAACGTTGATTTCAATAGTTTATTAATCATTTACTAACTCATTCTGAATGGTCCTGAAAACCCTCAACTACTCTTAAATACAAACGGTTTGTAAATAATTCGATACTTAATTTAGTAATGAAAAATAAATCATTAACAGAGTATGAAAATACAATTATTAACCACATTATATAGGTGCTTATAAGTCAAGAATAGAGCATTTGTAGCTGCAGTTATAAACTGCTTACTAACACTAATTAATGTAGAGTTAATGCTTAACAGATAATGAATTCACTACTTGCTAATGCTTAATAAATGATTTATAGTGTGTAGTTATTATAAAGTGTTACCATATAAGGTATCTAACCCAACCTGGCCATATTCTGCTGCTTATGCCATCAGGGAGGCATTACAAGAGCCTGAGGAGCAAGTCAGCGCTGTTTCGTGATAGTTTTTATCCTGTCATTATAAGACTATTGAATGATACCGTATCTTAAATACTATTGATAGCTAGTGTGTAATAAGAAATTAATAAATAGTTAATTTAGCACAAAATGTTATTATTATAACTATTATAACGAACTGTGCAATAGTTATTTAAGTATTGATTCATTCCCTTCTGTGATTTTTTAAAATTGGGTTATATTTTAGGTAACTATATTTTTATATATTTCTGAAATTATAAAAGCTTATTTATTAGTTTTTAATAGTGTTTGATGTTTGTTATGTTCTTGTTATGTTCTGCATTACAATTTATTGTGATGTTTTTAATTAAAATGAGTAAATTTAAATTAGTACAAAAATTAAGGAAACTGAAACTGAAGATGTGTGTGATGCTTTTTCCTTAATGTGTCTCTTTCTTTTCTTTGACAAAAAGTTCTCACCATGTCCTTGGTCTCTGAGTCTGACGGACTGGAGTCTGATGGGGTTTTCTCCTTCTCGCTTTGTTCTCCATAGAATAGTGATGTCAAACTATTATAGAAACAAGAAAATAAGCAGGTCATAGTTTTACACAAAGCATATTTCAAAATGACAAAGTCTATTAAACATGCTATAACTTGTAGGGGAAATTCAGACATTGTACAGCATGGATGAGTGACAACTTCCTTTTTCAATACTCAGAAATTTTGTTACAAATGCTTTTACTGAGGCAGTACCTTTAAGATAAAACAAAGGTTTGTATCTAAGGCATAGGTCTCAAATTTAATTCCTGGAGAGCAGCAGCTCTGCATAGGTTTGCTCCAACACTTATCAAACACCCTGGATCCAACTATTCAAGGTGTTCAAGACTACATGCCATACACAAATACCTGACAACATACATAAATACCTTAGAAATAGACTTTACACAATACAAATAAAAAAGATTTGAATGTGAATTTCAGCAAATAAACACCATTAAGGTGTTTATGAATTAATTGAGATTTTTAAGTTAATGTTTATGTTCCCCATCTCACTTAGGAAAAATTCCTGAGATAATTAAGTTATATCTGTGAACTTTAACAATAAACAATGCTGCGCTTCTTCTTGAGCGAGCACTGTGCTGAAGTCTGCATTGGTGCTTCCTCGATATCAAGAACACATCCGGGAACTTTCACGCATCCTCTGTTCTTGCGGTCTTGAGTTTTGGAACTGAACTTTGGCATTTAATGACGACTTTACACGAGAACACAAGAATGCGAGAAAGCTAAAGAATGCATATTGAAAAATAACCTTAGACACTATTAGTCTTGAACGTCTTGTTTAGTTGGATCAGGTGTGTTTGACTAGGGTTGGAGCACAACTGTGCAGAGCTGCGGCCGTCCAGGAGTTGAGAGGGAAACCTATGATCTAGGGCAGGGGTGTCCAAACTCGGTCCTGGAGGGCCAGTGTCATGCAGATTTAAGCTCCAACCTGCCTCAACACACCTGGAAAGATGTTTCTAGAAAGCCTAGTAAGAGCTTAATTAGCTAGCCCAGGTGTGTCTGATTGGGGTTGGAACTGAACTTTGCAGGACACCAGCCCTCCAGGACCGAGATTGGACATGCCTGATCTAAAGGGTTCACATTGATATCATAACAGTACAAACTGTTACTTTTTATTAGTTACAATATGTGTTCTTTAGATACAGAAATGTACCTTTGAAAATGCACTGCCCTATAGTGACAGCTTTTGCATTTTTATTTTTGAGAGAAAAGGCAAAGCATGACAATTTGTCAACAAAAGCACAATTTCGATTGGACTGATCAAATGCTGATCTCATTCAATCTCTAGTAGTTTGTTATTTAACATTCATTCATTCATTTTGCTTTGGCTTAGTCTCTTTATTCATCAGGGGTTAGCACAGGGGAATGAACTGCCAACTTATATGTTTTACACAGCAGCCCTTTTAGCTGCAACCTAGTACTGGGAAACATCCATACATACTCATGCACACATTTAAGCCAATTTAGTAATTCACCTTTACAGCATACAAGCCGGGACTCAAACCAGCGACCTTCTTGCTGTGAGGTGATAGTGCTAACCACTGAGCCACCATGTCACCCTTGTTATTGAACAACAACTGAAAAAATACAAAACTACACAAAACTAGTAGAGAAAATTCAAAGTGACTGTTTTTTTTTAGGGGTTTACTTCTTTTTGGATATTTATTGGTAGGTATTATTACTTTAAATTTTTTGCCAAATTCCATATGTTTACTTTAAAAAAAGCACACCCCATTGACATATTTTGCCAAACTGAATTCTGAAACAACCAGCATTCGTCATTTAACGTTTCATGAATTTTAAAGCATGTTTAGGACCTAAAAAATATGATTCAGTAAATACTTTGAAAAGTGCTCCGATTTTCCCCAGTACAAAGACATGCGGTACAGGTGAATTGGGTTGGTTGAATTGTCCGTAGTGTATGATTGTGAATGAATGTGTATGGATGTTTCCCAGAGATGGGTTGCAGCTGGAAGTGTCACAGCCACACAAAGGAGACAAAGCAAGAATTATTTTAAGGGTTTTATTAGTGCGATGCAACCACAGCAGAGAGGTGAAGCAGGTGAGTGGTGTGGCAGAGGGAAAGCGATCTCACACACAGCTCATGAGGTAAGTTCAGTTCTTGCCCTTTCTGCTGCGTAAAAAATATGCTGGATAAGTTGGCGGTTCATTCCGCTGTGGTGACCCCAGAATAATAAAGAGACTAAGCTGGAAAGGAAATGAATGAATAAATGAATGAATGATTATTTTAATATTCCCATGTACAATAGCTGAAACACACCACAAAATATAAACAAATAAACAAATAAAAATACAGTCTTCCATATGTTACCTCAGGTCCAGTAATAGCTATTCAATGTAACAATGTGCATTACTAAATGTCACTTACTAAATGGCATTACTAAATAAATATTAATGTAAATATATCCAAGATATCTTAAAAGAAGAAACAATTAAAATAAACAGGCAAAACAAGCATGAACTGAACATTTGACTGGAAAATCTCTTCTCTTATATACAATATTTTATAGTGTACCAATTTTTCTATAATTAGCCTCAAGATCACAAAAGCGCCAACATTCCCACCCACAGATTTATCACAGGAAGCAGAGAAAGAGCAGGTGAAACTCTCTTGTGATTAATAAATATTACTGCCATTATAGCTGAAGTTTTCTCCGTAGACTGATGCAACGCTTTGCAAACATACACACATCCACGTAAACAAAGACATTAACGCAACATGCTGATGCTGAATAAAGCAACACATCGACAACAGAACTGCATGAGCCTAAAGACTTATGATGGAATTCCACCCACAAACCCCAAAGGGACACCATGCCTGTGTGTGAGCTCAAATTTTAAATACAACCATCCCCAAAAAGATGTAAAAAACAGATCGGGTGGCACACTAAATGACTGAGGTATAAATCTTTAAATCCTACTTTTAAGGACAGCAAATACACACACTTCATGTTGTGCACACTGAAATGTACACTTAACAAATGATGTTTGCTGTTTACTTATTTAAAATGAAATGAAACAACAGAACTGGAAAAAATTGTACACGAACAGATAGTCAACTATATTACTAAAAAACATATTTTTTATGAGTTACAGTCAGGTTTTAGAGCATTACATTCCACTGAGACATGTATATTACATATGACAGACAAAAAACGGAGATCTGTAGATGGTGGCAAATATTGTGGAATGGTGCTGCTGGACCTTCAGAAGGCTTTTGACACTGTAGACCATCAAATTTTACTATATAAATTAAAGGCAATTGGATTTGATAAAGGGTCTTTAAAGTGGATTCAGTCATATCTGCATGATAGAAATCAGAGAGTTGATATAAAGGGTATATTATCTGCTCCCTTATCAATCAATCGTGGAGTACCTCAAGGAAGTATTTTAGGTCCATTATTTTTTCTTTTATATATTAATGATTTAAAAATATCATGTTCAGAGGAGCTCTATCTTTATGCTCATGATGCCGCAATTTTAGTATCTCATCATGACAAAAGGGCCCTGGAAGAAATTATGAGTTCACAGTTAAAAAGTGTTTATAACGGATTTTTAGACAACAAACTTTCTTTACACATGGGTAAAACAGAGGCTATTTTATTTGCTTCAGGAGTGAAATTAAAAAAAGATGATAATTTTGTAGTTAAGATTAATGACTGGAAAATTCAATCAAAAAATGTGATAAACTATTTGGGTTGTTTAATAGATAATAAACTATCAGGAGATGCTATGGCAAAAAAAGTTTTTACGAAGATTTATGGAAAAATTAGGTTTTTAGCAATGCAATCTGATCTTTTGGATGTTCATTCTTTACAATTGTTGGCAGGAGCTTTAATTCAACCCCATTTTGATTATGCTACGTCATTTTGGTACAGTAGCTGCTCACAAAATTTGAAGGAGAAATTGCAAACGGCACAAAATAAATAAGTACGAATAATTTTAAAAATGCATCCTAGAGCACATTTGCACAAAGAGTCTTTTAATAAATTAGGTATGTTAACTGTTAGTAATAGAGTGTGTTTTTTAAAACTGGGAATGGTACGTAAAATGTTTAATAATGTGGTTCCTAGCTATTGGATGAACTATTTTCAAATGGTGAGGCAACAGCATTCATACAGTACTAGGAGTTGGGATTTTAATATTTGTTTATTTAAATTTTGAAGTTTAATGGGGAAAAATATGTTTTTATATACAAGTGCAATCATGTGGAACAAACTACCAAAATCAATCAAATAAATAAAAGATTTAAGGTTGTTCAAAAAAGCTATCAAAAGATGCTTGTTTGATGAGGATAATTAGTTTGCATGGTGGACGAGGATCTTTTAATTTACATGTTACTTGAGTGTGAATAGGTTTGCGGCTGGAAGGCCATTGGCTGTGTGAACATGTGCTGGATAAGTTGACTGTTCGTACCGCTGTGGCGACTGTTTGTTTTATTTTTTATTAGTATTTTGAAGCTATACATTGTTTTTATTTAACAGAGGACCACAATGGAAATAAGCCCAGGCCTTTATTGTGTTTTTATCCTCAATAGTTTTTTTTAACAAAGTGTATGGAATACTGTTTGAACAGTTTGTCTAAAATCTGTCAAATAAAATTCAATTCAATTCAATTCAACATAAGGCTTTTTGGGGATAACTTAATTCATTTATTAATTTTCCTTTGGCTTAATCCCTTTATTTATCTGGTCGCCACATTGAATGAACCGCCAACTTATCTAGCATATATTTTTACGCAGCGGATGCCCTTCCAGCTGCATCCCATCACAGGGAAACACTCATACACTATGGCCAATTTAGCTTATTCAATTCACCTACAGCGCATGTTTTTGGACTGTGGGGGAAACCGAAGCACACAGAAGAAACCCACGCCAACACAGGGAGAACATGCTCCACACAGAAATGCCAACTGACCAAGCTGTGACTCAAACCAGTAACCTTCTTGCTGTGATGTGACAGTGCTAACCACTGAGCCACCTTTTTGACGGACAACTTAATTGTTTTATGTTCAATCCACTTAAATTTAACGTAAAGTTAACTTAATTCCCTCGTGTTGCCTCAACACAAATCCATTGTGTGGAATCCAGCATTTTTTACAGTGTAATATAGTGGCCAAAAATATGTGCAAGTTTAAATGAATCACTAAAATGTGAGGAACATGCAAATTATAGCAGAAATTGTAAATATTTTAAAATAGGAACTATTCTTGCAAATAAACTGCATAGTTGCAATCTAAACAAATACATTCTCGACTAAAAAAGCCTCAAAAGTATATTTTGTTTTGTAACAGTAGTAAACTTTGTCAAACTGTAGTGTCTGTTTGTTGTTGGCTGTTTGTTGGCTGAGTAATACACAAAAGGTAAAGAGGCTGTACGGATGCTGATGTTACTTAAATATATTACGGCTATCAGCCAATCAGATTCAAGATCCAGATAGAACTGTTGTATAAATAAATAAATAAATGAATATATATATATATATATATATATATATATATATATATATATATATATATATATATATATATATATATATTACATTACATGTCTCTATAGCAAACAACCTTTTTACTTTGTGTGAATGTCATTTTCCTCTTGACTACAATTAATATGTTTGATTTGACCAAATTTTACAGTTTGAACCAAAGTTAAATTATACTTTGAGAAAAACAAATAAATTTAGCTGTTACAAATTACAATAAGTGTAATTTCAAAGTATTCAAAATGTAATGTTATGTCAGCGTATACACTTTTTAGTATGTACTTAAATGGATACTGCATTAATAGTTTAAGTTTCTTTTTTCCATCCAATGTTAGTCTGAAAGCCCAACATCCTCTATTATGTATTTAAAAATGTCAAGTGGAGTGCATGGGTGTTTTCTTACCATATATTCTATACTAAGTTTTATTGAATTGTAAAATATTAAGCAGGAGAAAGATTGCTGAGAACTTTAGTGGTTCTGCTAAGGAGACCAGATGAAATATTAATAACTGATTATATTGTTGTCACTATCTGTCTGTGACTAAGGGCTCATATTTTGATCTTTACCACATCCCTGTTATTCTCAATTCATAGGGTGCATTCAAATAAATATACTTATGTAGTATTCCATGCTGTGTTAGTATAAGGAGTGAAATATGTTCACACTGACACCTCAAAATGAAATGGCACTGGGATTAAATATTGGCGCTTTAAGGGGGGTTCGGTGGTTTAGTTGGGATATTTTTGTCCTCAAGGTATCTGGGTGAAAATATATTTCTAAAATATCTTTATTGTACATTTCAATAAAATTACCAAAACAAACAAAATGCAAACAAATTGACAGTTGTAGATACATAATGTAGGGTTTGGGGCTTTCAGACTAGGATAGAAAAAGTCATTTATATTATCCATTCTCTAAACATTTAAGTACATACTGAATAAAAGAAGTGTGTAGTGGTTACTGATTATGTTTTACACCTGTGTCTGATGTAGTTATTGTGCATCTCTTGTGTTTCCAATGAGTTTGCTGCAGCTTCTAGTGTAATTTAATATGTTCTGTTATTTTTAATTATTGTGATGCTGCTAATAGATTAGAAATAAAAAATAGATGTCCTGTCACGCTTTTTAAGCACATTAAAAATATCTAAATTTCACAATAAGCTATAATTTGCCTAAATGGCCAAAAAACATACAAAAATTTCTAACATTCATTATATTTTAATGATTCGTTTATAACTTAAACATAATTTTTGCCCATTATATTATATTATATTATATTATATTATATTATATTATATTATATTATATTATATTATATTATATTATATTATATTATATTATTATTTTATTATTTCTTTTTCACAATATGCGTCAGTAACCAGCAGGTGGCGCCAGGATCTCACACTGACCTGATAAGCATTCCGTTCACTCCAACATCAGACACAAACATACTCACACTCGCTCAATTATTTACAGCTTAATGCATTCTCCAAACTGTCAACACTTCTGAGATGATACCTGTCATTTTTCATAAGCAGAGCCAGACGGCCGTAGTCCCACGCTGCCTTTCTCAAACAGGAGAAGATCAGAAGCAGGATCTAAAACAAAGGAACACCACATTAATTCATGCATAAATGCTGTATATATTCATAATAACCACATTTCCAATAATAATAATAATAATAATAATAATAATAATAATAATTAATATTATTATTATCATTATCATTATTATTATCATACTAGTATTATTATAACTAGTTTTTACTTATTTGCTGCATGTAAAATTTCTTAAAATTATATGTCAATATCCTAAATGACATTCATAGTGAATAATAACCTAAAGTGATTATTTTCCAGAGTACCCAGCAACCACACACACTGCGGCACTTTAAATGTGTGTCAAAGCTGCTGATATAAAAATAAAAGGCTATTTGTGTGAGTAAACCCTTGGACTGACTAGACCCCAGGGCAGCAGTAATAATTAGGCATTTCTTTGGCCAGAGAAAGACGAGGTGAGTGGTTGTCTTGGAAACTAACAGGCAGCGAGGTCTGCATGCACACTTGTGTTGGTAATGACTCCGGAAGAAGCAGTCAATGACGAGACAACAGAAAACACCGGCCGACTGCTGGGAAGCTCTCTATTTAGTACGGTTAGCAACTTATGCAAAACTTAAAGGGGAAGAAGGATTTCTGCGCAGCTCTAGAAAATTTATCATGAACAATTTGTCCTGCTGAGTAATGTTTAAAGGGATAGTTTACCCAAAACTGAAGATTCTGTCATTTACTCACTACTTTGCTTTTTACAAACCTACTTGAGCTTCTTTTTCAATATAGAAGATATTGTGAAAAAAAAATGTGGGAACCAGTAACCATTGACTACCATAGTAGAAAAAAATGTATTATGGAAATCAATATAGAAGATATATTTCAAAAACTTGGAAACCAGTAACCATTGATTTCCATAGTAGAAAGGATGAAGCGGGGGCACTTCAGATCATTTTGGAAGGGCACTTTCTATCCAAGACTAAAAAGGGCACAGGCTTAGCCCTATGTGTGTACGTGCCCGTCTCCCATCCAGGTACTGACCAGGCGCAGCCCTTCTTAGCTTCAGTGGGCAACTATGTGAGAGCTGCACAGAGCTAGCTGCTGGTAGTAGAAAAAAATTAAAAATATGGAAGTCAAAAAAGGTACTTTGAAAAAAATTAATTAAAAAAAAACGCTGGAAACTGGTTGGAAAACTAAAAATTTACAGTGAATGGTTGCCAATTTCCGAACTCTTTAAAATTGCTAAACTACAAGCACAGTTCCTGCTTTACGCTCAAATTGCAGGTTTAAAACACAGTTTTACACTACACACAATTCTCTGCATTTTGCACAATTTTCATGCAGAAAATCTTTTATTTTCGCAAGGAACACACTGTCATTCACAACTGTAAAGTCAGTTGTCCTACTTTGCATACTAACTTATCACATGAGTAAACACCTGACACACACAATTGCAATTTAGTAATCAGAGCTCATCTGGTTCAAAACTAGTTTACTGCCCACCCATGTTTTATAGTTGTTTATCTCCCTCCATATTCTCCATATTCCTCAAACCTATTGAGGATTTTTTTTTTCTGCCTGGAGATGTAAAGTGTATGACCGAAATCCACACACACGTATACCCCTTCTCCAAGCTATAGCAGTTGATGCTTTTTATGGTTGGATTCGCCATGCAAGGTGACATTTCCCCCACTGCTTGGCCAGACCAAAACAAAAGAGGATGCAGTATTGCTATTTTTTTATTTTTTATTTTTTTTAACTGTAACTGTATTCAGTAAACACTTCTGTTGATGCTATATGTAAACCACGTTATCTGCAACTTTGTGTTGGTTGGGATGAACACTGTGTACACTGTATTTGTGGGGAAAATACAGTAAAATATATTTGGTATTTGTTTGTTTTGTATAAAAACAATACTCTGAAATATTTTACAATGCACATCTGTAGGCCTACTGTCTGTAGTAAAGTGTAACACTGAACAGAAAAAGGCTTACAGAAGGTCATAATGATAAATGGAGAAGAAGTGGTCATTACATTCAGCACATCAGTGTTCAACTGATCTTATTAATGTCTATTGATGTGATGGCTTGTGTGTGTCATTTGAAAACAAAAGACCATTTTGAGAAGAAATCACACTGTTTTGAATGTAGAGTTTCATTTTGCAGAAGAATTGAAGAGTTTTACCCAATCTGTGTGTTAGAGTTCTGACAATATAAGACCTGCTTTCAGAAAATGTGTGTAAACAATTGGAAAAAACTGTAATAACAGTACCTGCACATTATACAAAACTACATGACATAAACCTAGCCCTAACCTTAATCCTGATGCACATTCATGTTATTACAGTTTTTCCAACTACTTACACACAAAATCTTTTCTTGTCACACGATTTCTAAAACATCTCACTTAAAATGCAAAACTATATTTCAAATCTCCAAAATTGAAGCTGTTTGTCAGCCTTGAACTCAGTTTTCAATTGCATTAAACACTGCACACAATTCTCTACATAAAACACAAAACTTGAACAGGAATCCACTTGCTTTCCTTTTCCAAACACAACCAATCAAAATGCTACACTTAATCACAAGGTCACCCACGAACGCTTCTCAAATGTGGTAACACTAATTTCTTAACTGACAACTAACCAATCACTGCTTTTACATTTACATTTTACATTTAGTTATTTAGCAGACGATTTTATCCAAAGCGACTTACAAACGAGGACAAGAAAGCAATTTACACAACTATAAGAGCAACAATGAATAAGTGCTATAAGCAAGTTTCAGGTCTGTAAAGTCTAAGAAGGAAAGCATTAGTAATTTTATTTATTTATTTATTTATTTTGAGTACAGTTAGTGATATATCCAGAGAGGCAATTGCAGATTAGGAAGTGAAGTGGAGACTAAATAGGTGAGTTTTTAGTCGTTTCTTGAAAACAGCGAGTGACTCTGCCGTTCTGATGGAGAAGCACTTTAGCATCTAGACCAGCAGCCTGTAAGTACATTTAAGACTTGTTTCAGTTGTTGTGTATGGTTTGAGGACTTGTTTCCTCATTTGTAAGTCGCTTTGGATAAAAGCGTCTGCTAAATGACTAAATGTAAATGATGCAGTTAGGGAGTTCATTCCACCAACTGGGCAGATTGAACGCGAGATTTTTTGTCTAGTACAGGCCAATGGTGATGGGACACTGGGCTGTTCTGGTCCAAAAATCGGTTTCCACCCCATCCAAAGTTTGTAGTTTTGTACCTACCCCATTTTTTCCTTTTCTAAATCCTTAATTCTAAAAGAATAAAATATTTTTTTCTGAGCCTGGCATTGTAAAGTGTATGATGACCAACCCTATGCACACATGGTGCTTTTCCAGGCAATTGACGCTTCTCCCCCTGAGACTCCCTTCACACACAATTGTGTTCTTTACTGTACTCTGGAGAACATACTTTTGCTTTACATGTTCAATTTATTTATTAGTACTGTATTATTATTATATATTTTTTTACACTTTTTACATACAGTATGTTTCTTTTTTTATGCTTTAAACAATACAATAATATTTGGCCTAAAAAATATTTAGTTTTTTCAATGTTGTTGGTGTTCACAGTGTACCTGTTACTCCTCTCAGCAGATTACTGTCACTGTAAAACATTGTATTGAAATGTAGATATAAGCCTAAAGAGCAAAGACCTTTTGAGCAACAGTGTTTACATGGCTCATTCAAACATTTGCTATTTTGAAAGTGCCATTTGATGCAAATGTTTCGTTCTGACATTTGTTTATGGCATTTTGAATGTTATATTTTGTAGATGTGGGACATTTCGCATTTTGTGTGTGCAGTTTTGAGAATGAAGAGTATTGTGTGTGTAGAGTTTTGAAAAAAGGAGACACTGTTTTGAAAATGTGTGTAAGCAGTTGGAAAAAACTGTAACTACGATCACTCAGTATACGTAATGTATAATTACTCTTTGACAATGACACCATCAAATAGAGAGCAACCCAAGCCCTAATCATTAAATGTCATGTAAATACACAGTACCCACTTGACACAGCATTTACACTTGACTTGAGATTAAATGAATGTCATGCGTTCGCAGCTAATGGAGCCTTTTAACTAGACTTATGATGTGTATAATGGCCATTAACATCTTAAATCTTAAAATCTTTCAGATTTAGGTTTAAAAAAAACATATGTACATTTATATGTATTTATGAATGTATTATATCATCTTTGCATCAAATTACAAAAAACACATGACCACTTATGCAAGGTGTTTCTAATGCAGTGTATATGGATGGGCAGTAAATTTGGCCTTGTTCTCTCTTTTGGCTGCTGTTATCAGTGTCACACTATTATTTTCAATTTTATAAAAGTATGGATTGCACCATCGTGGAATTCTTCTTTAATTATTTCAGTGAATAGGATTGCAAAAATATTATTTGTTGTACTCTCCCATTCACTGTGATCTAAGTTTACCCAATGAATTTAATTATTATATATGCAGAATTTTTTTTAGTGTTTGACACATTAAGTATTGCATTTTAAAACACTGATTTATTTTAACATGCGAACAACAGCATACAGAACATATTAACAGAACATATTCACACACCTGCGTTTCCAACAGCATAGAATAAAGAAATATTAACATAAATAGGCCTGTCCTAGAAATTGTTTACTTAAATTTGAAATGTAGATTAAAACGAAAACACTGACTGAATCCTTTTAAAGAACCAGCATTGGCTATTTTTTGTAATCATGTTTTTTTTTTTTTTTTGTTCTGTCAAATAAAAAACAGCAAGCCGATTGCTCTGTGGAAAATATGTATTAAATCACTCTACTGTAATTGTTAATAATCACAAATCTATGTTAACATTTTAACCAAAGTCATTATTTAACTTAATTTAAACTTAACTATTTATAACTTAAGCTTTTTATTTTAACTTACACTTTCTGTGCTTTATTATTCTCTGTCTCGGACACTAGCAGTCCAATAAGCACGCTGCACGTGAAGAAACAACAAGGCAATATATTGACTTATAGCCTATAGGCTTCTATAGTATATAATAATTAGGGTTTTTTACATATAATATTGCATTTGCCAAATTTGCATAGATGTTTTATAGTTTATAAAATGAACGAGTCTTTTTTTAGAACTAGAATTAAAGACTTTAATTTTCCAACTGGGAAAAAGTTGGTTATTATGTTGTGTATGCTGTATGATTTTTTAAATGGCGCATTCCCTAGCCTTAAGGCTTGCGGGATGCTTTTCATTTGCATTTATTGATGACATTTTAAGTTTTTTTTTTTTTTTTTTTCTGGATTCAAACCCAAGCGATTTTCACTAGTGTCAAGAAGAGTTTGCAAAATCACTCCTTGACGTTAGATGGTGCTACACAATTTTAAGTTTCTGACACCTGCTTGTAACACAGAAGTTGACATGCTTGTTGTTATGGATGGTTTAAGCAGCAGCTCCAGCTGTAGTGATGAAGAAATTATTATTTTTGACCAGTGCAATAGGCAGCTCCATGTTTATATCGCCCCTGGGCATCTTCAGTGTGCGCTTGCATTGACAGTTTTGTGCTTGAGCGCCTCAAAGTGCTGATTACAGTAAGTTCAGCAGCTCTGTGCACGTGAACAAAAGCGGTGCGTCAAAACAAAACAAAACAAAACAAAAAAAAAAACGAGCATGTGGCATTTTTTTTTTTAAATGATGCTTTTGTGCCTGCCGTTTTGCGTGTTGGTGTACACAATCACATTGATGCCCTTTATTTAGTCACGAGGCTTTAAACGTCGACAGAAAACGCGAGCAAAAAAACGTCTCGGTGGGCACGGTCCTTTAGGCTACACACGCTCCGCATGTCTGTTGTTACAGAGCCCTGATGGCATGCATTGTAATTCGAATTATGTTCAGAGCTCCTAGTTTTAAATTGGCTAAAAGTCAGTTAAACCATATAGTATAAGATAATAACACACACAGCTGCCTAAATAGATAGGCTAAAAACACACAGTTGATCACTTAGGCCTATTAAATTGTTATTAAAAAACTGTACTGAAAGAAAAAATGCACAAAAATGCTGCTTTTCACGCGGCTTAGCTCACGTGCTCTGGCTGCTACAGTATATCAGTTCAGTATGCTAACTATGTTATATAATACCATGTATTTCTAGTGCTAGACCATGTTCTGCTTTACTGCGGTTTACTGCGGAGATGTGCAATTTTTCTTTAAATCACTTGTGCACTCTCAGTAGCCATATCTGTATGATGAACCCGGAAATGTGAAAAGGGTGCATTAATTCTTCATAATATGTGAGCATATGTTATCATAGATGATGTACCAGCCACAGCACAACGTTGATGGCGAGGACAGTGGGCACTCCACCGAAGGGCAGACCCTGCAGGACGCTGCTGCGCGAGTGAGAGCGGTAACACCTCTCCGCCGTGCTGTTCTCCTCCATCAGGAAACTCCTGACGTCCAGCTCCTCCACAGGACGTACTCCACCTGCAGGCCAGGACTCAAACGCCATTGCAGCGGCGCAGCTCTCAGGAGACCTCTCAAAACTGTCAAAGCATCACTGGGGAGAGATGACAGGAAATAAAGTACACTGTAAAAACATATTTGTTAATCAATAGTTCACATATTTTGTGATTCACAAGTGTTCACCATTTGTTTACGCTTGTGAATTGTATAATGGGATGTTGACCTTCACTCTGTTGACTTTTGGTGTTGAAAATTCAACTCTATAGTTTAACAAAGTGACTTTTATTGACATTTTAGTAATAAAATAATATATAGTAAAATAATAATAATATTAATAATAATTATATATATATATATATATATATATATATATATATATATATATATATATATATATATATATATATATATATATATATATATATATATATGGAATAATATATAGAAATAATATATAGTGTGTAAAAATAACAGAAAAATGCACTGGCAGTTTTTTACAAGGCCTCTGTAGCCTAGTAATATACAACACCAACCCAGACGATTTATCACTTTAAGCTATTAAACATGTTAATAAATGTCACTTTTTTAACTTTTCAAGGTACAAGTTGTTGAAAGACAGATCAAGGTCCCATAATACAACTCAAAAGCATAAATAAGCAAGAAAAAAAAAACATGAATCACAAAATATGGTAAACTGCTATTTTACTGATATTTTATACAGTGTATTAGTGTAAGATTTGCAGTGGTTGAAAGAGTAATGAAAAATCATATTTAAGTAAAAGTACAATTACTTGCCTAAAAATGTAGTGCAAGTAGAGTAAAAGTATATGTTGTGAATATTACTCAAACTATGAGTAAAAAGTAGACCTTTCAAAAGTACTCATGAGTAGTGAGTATTACACGGTTAAAAACTGATGCGTTTACATGTAAATTGTGGATGTGTGTAAACGTAACATTCTGTAGTGCATCTGGTTATTCCCCAGAAGACACACATTGCCATAGGACATTAATATTAGATTAACTTTAGGTTGTGATGTCAGGTGACCAAAACTAAATGTCTAGCCAGTGTCTAAGGACAATGTTATTTTGATATCTAATAATGATGTCAAATGATGTTGATAATTGATCGATTTTAGGTTGTTAGAAAGTGACCAAAATCCAACATCTAAACCCAACATCATTGTCACAGACTCGGTCCCAGTCATTCCCCTCGCTGGCCAGCAGAGGTCACCATCACCGGACTTCTAACCATTACGTCATGCACAAACACTGATTGACACACACACCTGCAGCACATCACTCTGATGACCAGGCTCACACATATAAGCAGCTCACACACTCAGTCCTGTGCGAAGTCTTTTCCTGCCCTGTCTGACATTGCTGAGTGCTATCTCCATGCCTGATCTCCCATGTATTACCTGGACTGTATCTGACCTTGCCTTGCCTTGCCTTGCCTTCCGCCTGCCCCAAACCTTGCTTGTATCCTTGACCTTGATCCATGCTGCCTGCCCTGAACCCAGCCTGATATATAGCCTCTGATCCACGCCACCTGCCTCTGACCCATGCCTACTATCTCACTCCTTGACAGCCAGCCGCCTGCCCATAGACCCATACTAACTACGTTTGATGTGAGTTTGCACGCTAGTGCGTATTGTATGATTGTGATTAAACTGTTTAATAAATATACTGCAAATGAATCCCTCCGTATCAGACTCCTCATTACAATCATACTGAAATTGTCAAATTTATTCATCAGGTATGGCAAACAAAATCCAACTTCTGATGAATGTCAATAGTGGTAACGTCAACACAACGTCAAGCTGTTACATCATTAGACGTTGATTTTTGGTTGGTTTTTAGGTTGTGGACATTGAAGTTTTGACGTCAACACGATTTTCATTTTCAAACAAAATGCAACGTCTCCATAACGTTGGGGTACAACGTCAATCTGACGTCATGTTGATATCTTGTGCCTGCTGGTTGTTTAGGCCATTTCTGTCATCATACAGTAAACATCCGTCATCTTCTTATTAATGACATTCATCTAAACAGTCTCTGAGTCAAGGTGTGTAAAGATTTTGGACATCTTCTTGTACACTTTTAATGCTTCCTAACAGTTTGCTGCTTTTAAAAAGCGCCCATGTCTTGAGGTAGTATATAATGGTGAAATTTACCTTCTATGTGCGATTTGATTGGACTCGCATGGCAGATTTTTAAAATCCATTAGAGAAGAAAAAAATTAAGTAGTGACTTCAGGTTGAAGAAAAGTAGTAAAAGTACAGATACTGCACTAAAAATGTACTCAAGGAAAAGTGCACATTTATAAAACTACTTAGTAAATTAAAGCTGCAAGCAGCGATGATAGGGACCTCGCACCCGGGCTCACCGCCGCCCGGTGGCCTCAGGATGACAGAGAACAGCGAACAGTAATAATTTAAGCCGATATATAAAAAAAAATCTGAGAAAATCACAGATTTATGCCAAATTTCCTCCTGTCAGCAGGTGGCGCTATAACTGTGACTCACGATTGGCATGTAGATGTCTTCAGGAGAGGAAACTTATCAACCATGTGAAGTTTCAGGCAGATCGGACATTGTTTGGCTGAGTTATAAGCCAAACTGCCTTTTGTTAGCAGGTGGCGCAATGACAGACTCAATGTTGTTATGTAGATGTGTTCAGGAGAGGACTTTAATCAAACTTGTGAAGTTTCAGCCAGATCGGACTTTGTGTGGTTGAGTTATACTGCAAACTACCATCTGTCAGCAGGTGGCGCTATAACTGTGACTTAAGATTGGCATGTAGATGTCTTCCGGAGAGGAATCTTATCAACCATGTGAAGTTTCAGGCAGATCAGAGATTGTGTGGAGATTGTTTTATAAGACAAACTACATTCTGCCAGCAGGTGGCGCTATGAAAGACTCAATATTATTATGAAGATGTGCTCAGGAGAGGACTTTCATCAACCATGTGACATTTTAGGCAGATCTGACATTGTGTGGTCGAGTTACAAGCCAAACTTCCTTCTGCCAGCAGGTGGCGCTATGACTCTGACTCAATATTATTATGTAGATGTGCTCAGGAGAGGACTTTCATCAACCATGTGAAGTTTCAGGCAGATCGGACATTGTGTGGCCGAGTTACAAGCCAAACTACCTTCTGCCAGCAGGTGGCGCTATGACTGACTCAATATTGTTATGTGGATGTGTTCAGGAGAGGACTTTTATCAATCATGTGAAGTTTCAGGCAGATCAGACATTGTGTGGTTGAGTTATGAGGACTTCCTGTTCCATGGCGAAGCGTTGAGGTTTGTCATGCCACCACAGACACACCCCTTTACAAAAACTCTAGATCTTCACAATATATCATCTGTAGAGCTTTCAGATGACACCACTCTATTTTGGTGCTGATACGGGAAAGTTTGTGGAAGGAGTTTGTTACAGTGTCAAACATGTCATTTCCTGTGGCCAGCAGGTGGCGCTATAACTGTAACTGGATATCGGCACGTAAACCTGATCAGGTCAGGACTCTTATTAAATGTGTGAATTTTGAGGCAGATTGAATATTGCATGCCTGAGTTATAATGACTTCCTGTTTTGTGGCAAATCATCAAAGTTTGCGAGGCCGCCACGGACACGCCCATCGATGAAAACTCTAAAGCTTCGCAATTTAACATCACCAAGGCCTTTAGATGACAAAACCCAATTTTGGTGTCGATCAGATAAAATCCCTAGGAGGAGTTCGTTAAAATACAATGCCTGGAAATGGCAAAAATGCCACTTTTTCGACACAGGAAGTTAAAAATACCCGACTTCCTGTTGGGTTTGAGATATGGCTCCAAGAGACTTTTTCGTATGTTTTGTCATGTTTGAGGTTTGTGCCAATTTTCGTGCATGTGCGTGATTCGTAGATCGGGGGCTCGTCCGTTTAATTTTTCTAGGGGGCGCTGTCGAGTCATTTTGCCACGCCCACTTCAATATTGTTATGTGGATGTGTTCAAGAGATGACGTTTATCAACCATGTGAAGTTTCACGCAGATCGGATATTGTGTGGTTGAGTTATAAGGACTTCCTGTTCCATGGCGAAGCGTTGAGGTTTGTCATGCCGCCACGGACACGCCCCTCGGCAAAAACTCTAGATCTCCACAATATATTATCACTAGAGCTTTCAGATGACACCACCCAATTTTGGTGCTGATACGATAAAATTTGTGGGAGGTGTTTGTTACTCCGTAAATCATGTCATTTCCTGTGGCCAGCAGGTGGCGCTGTAACTGTATCTGGTTATTGGCATGTAAACGTGTTCAGGTCAGGACTGTTATTAAACGTGTGAATTTTGAGGCAGATCTGATAATGCATGCCTGAGTTATAACGACTTCCTGTTTTGTGGCGAATCGTCAAAGTTTGCGAGGCCGCCACGGACACGCCCATCGATGAAAACTCTAAAGCTTCGCAATTTAACATCGCCAAGGCCTTTAGATGACAAAACCCAATTTTGGTGTTGATCGGATAAAATCCCTAGGAGGAGTTCGTTAAAATACAACCTCTGGAAATGGCAAAAACGCCACTTTTTCGCCGCAGGAAGTTAAAAATATCCGACTTCCTGTTGGGTTTGAGATATGGCTGCAAGAGACTTTTTCGTATGTTTTGGCATGTTTGAGGTGTGTGCCAATTTTCGTGCATGTGCGTGATTCGTATATCGGGGGCTCGTCCGTTTAATTTTTCTAGGTGGCGCTGTCGAGTCATTTTGCCATGCCCACTTCCGAAGCCCATAACAAACGTAAATTTTCGCCACTTCTGAGGCGTGTGCAAAGTTGCGTGAGTTTTCGGGCATGTTTAGCCCCTCAAAACCGCGATTCATTCCGCGGAAGAAGAAGAAGAAGAAGAAGAAGAATAATAATTAAAGCTGCAAGCAGCGATGATAGGGACCTCGCACCCGGGCTCACTGCCGCCCGGTGGCCTCAGGATGATAGAGAACAGCGAACAATAATATTTTAAGCCGATATATATAAAGAAGCCGAGAAATTCACAGATTTATGCCAAACTTCCT